CCATTTCAGGTGCTTGCTGTATCCATCTTTAGTGTAGTGAAATTGTGTGATGCTGCTCGTGCACTGCAGGATAAAGCACCATGTATGCCTCTTTCTGCTGATGCACCTCTTGCTGCTCGTCATCATCTTACTGATTATAAGGAACATGAGAGCACATTCCTGTCTCTTGAGATTGAGAGCCAATACATCTTCCAGGCAGAAGACGGCCGTGTAGCCCATCTTCAAGGGGCATTCTTCCCCTAGACCCTTAATTGCTTCACCTAAATTATATGTCGCCTGCCATTTTCACTTCCAATGCCATGGATTTTCATTATGTTGTTTGCACTCTCTGTATGAGTTGGGTTTTATTTTATGCTATGTATGCACACTTGGTTCTCTCTCCATTTTATCAGTAGTGTACTTGTTATTTAAGCAGTTTATGTTGTTACACTAATTGAACTTCTGTGGTTGAAATAGACTTCCATGGATATGCTGCTTTAGTGATATTCAAAACCCAAATGCAAAAAGTTTGTTGTTCACTCACGAGAGAGAGAGAGAGAGAGAGAGACCTTTTAATATTCTACATGACTTGACTCCACCACCCCACACTATCACAACATTCAAGATCTCGGCTTGTATTTCTCCTCTTATCTTCATTCGTTGTTGATTAATATCTATTCTAATCATTGTTCTCTAAAGAGGGCTGTTAACTTGAAATGGCATGTCACTAAACTCTTTTAAAAATTGTCCATTTGAATTTAGTATCATTTGAATCTCAATGAAACATAAATTTTATAGATCTTTAGGCGAGTTGAAAAGCTTTACATAGACAAACCATTCTTCAAAATGTTGCTAAACAATTTCTTTATCATTTACTCCCCGAATATTTTATAAACATATCATATATTTCATTTGCACCAATATCCAAGTGTTAAAAATCAATAGATCAAAAAAATCTCCTAATTGTGTGATATTCTTCTTTGAGCTAATATGGTTACATCAACCAAGAGTTTCCATGAACTTTTTCAAACATTTTGTGGACTACTCATGCCATTAGTTAGTCATGTAATGAACAACTTTCATAATTAAGTTTTAGATCCCAGCTCGACAGTCTCTTTTATGCACTATACATTATTGTCATTGACCCTAATGCCTGAGATGCTTCAATACATCTTATACTCCCTCCGTCCCAGAGTATTTGTCCACTTTCATTTTTACATATCATCCAATACACTTCTTTAATTCATTTTGTCTTGTAATTTGTATATTAAAAAATTATAAAATTTACTCCCTCCGTTCGGAAATATTCTTCCCGTGTTGACTTGGCACGCTTATTAAGGAATAGTTAAAAAAATGCAAAATTTTCAAAAATACACATACTATAAACTTTTAAATATCTTTTTATTATTAAAAAAGTACTAAAAAAGTAGATTAGTGATAAAATAGAAGGGTATTATTGAAATTTATTCTTAAAAAGCATACTAAGGAAATGGGAAGAATATTTCTGGACGGACCAAAAAGGAAAGTGGGAAGAATATTTCCGGACAGAGGGAGTATATATTAATAATCTATATGTTAAGACAAATCAAATAAGATCGCACATGGTTATATTTAGGCTTACACATTGAGAGAATTTGATAAGTCAAAGTGCTTGGATGAACATTTCCAAAAGTCAAAAGTGGACGAATATAGCGGGACGGAGGTAGTAATGGTTTGAATCAATAAATAAAATATTGTTTTTTAACTCAAAATAATATCATGTGTTTATCACATGCCTAAAAGATGTAAGTTTTTATTTTATCTGTTTAAATATTGATGTAAAAAATAAATTTCTACATTAATATTGTGTAATTGAGATGAACTGTAATCTAATTGTAAGAGTGAAACTTCATTATAGAGCGAAAGAAGGATATAAATGCCATTTTAAATCTCAAAATCAGTTAGGAGGCGTGTATGCACCATTTAGAAACCAAAGAAGTTTTACAAATAAGGTTTACAAACATAGGGAGTTTGGGTGCTTCTTTTGCAAACCACGGGGCACTCATGCTATTAGCCCCTTCAATTATACTAAAACATTAAAATAATTAATACTCCCTCCGTCCTATAATGATCTTCCCGGTTCGCAAAACGAAGAAAAATCTCAAGTTTTTTCAATCGATTTTATTTAAATATTGGTATAAAAATTAAAAATAAAACATACATATTTAAAAACTACACCAAAAGTTCAACAAAACAAGTAGTGACAAGAATATTTTATTTTATCATATAAGCCATGAAAAAATACAAATAAATATAAATTCCCGTGAAGTTGGAATAGTGTTCTGGGAAGATCATTATAGGACGGAGAGAGTATGATACTCTTCTAATTTCTAAATAAATTTCATATTTTCCTATGATGCATTTACAATAAAGAAGTTAGTTTTGATTCTATTTATTTAAATATCGATGTAAAATTTAAAACGAATGTATATATTTTTCAAATATAGAAAGACTAAAATACAAGTAAAACATAGGTGGGCCGACATCATTTTATGACAACTCAAATTCTTCAGGAGAAATTGAGAATTGCTTTTGTAGTACAATGTTATATTAAGAGTTGTTCCTGACATGTAGTTCATCAAAACATACCATGATAAGTCAGCCTAAGAGTTGTCTTTATCACAAATCCTTTCGAAACAACTAACCCAGCAAAGTATGGTATTAGATATTACCCTAATAAACATTTCATGCTATAGGTTCTGTCATACTTAAGTTTGAAATCCACAAAAAATAATCTCCCAGGTTGCTTCAGTGGAATGCAAGTTTACATGGAAACATTAGGTGATAAAAAGTCCTCATGTGCATCACCATGAACCTGCACAACCCAAGCCAAACCTGTATGGGGCACAAACACATAAGTATCATTTAATCACTAATGCTCATGCAACCCAACATTACAACAATTCAAGATCTCTTACATGACAATCCTTGCCCACATCTTCAAACATCTACATCTTATGGGTAGTCCATTAAAATTCCTCTATGTGTATGCCTATGTATGAAACTTAACAGTGATGATCTAATACAACTTTGATGCATATTTAACATACTTAATACTTTTTAGTTTCATTACTAAAATGTACAAGAGAAGCTTTAATTCTTTCTTTCCTACACCCCCATCATGCTCCATATTATATTGGTCGTCACGTCTACCCAAGCCTATCCGTAGGGGAAAACCCGCATTCCTCATCATGCCACATATGTACTGCATGAGTCAAATAACTAAAAGTACCTGCAAAAATCTTCCGTCACTTGACCAATTTAGTTTCCAAATCAAAGCAAGTCATTACTTGGTGAAATGCGGAAAGCATCTCTGGCCAAGTGTCTACTATCATCGTACCATGTTCTGCCCATGTCTTGTCTTTCTAGAAAGACGAAAAACAGAGAAAAAAATCATCATAATAAATATTGTGATTAATACAAACCAATAATGACATTTCAATTTTTTTACAATAACATCATATCCATTTCAATTTTTAAGCAATATATTAACAACGATACTACTCAAGATTGAAATTTACCCTGTGAACTCCGATGTTTCTTGCGAAATGAAGAAACCCCCGTGGAGTATTCAAATAGGCTGGTTTTGTATCCTCAACCCCTGTGATAAAACAACATGAGTAAATTTGAAACAAAATATAAGAACATAACTAATTCAAGATATAAAGAAGATCATACATTTCTCACGATTAAAATATAAAACATCAATATAATCATCTGGGACAGAATTGGTCCAAGATTGACAGCTTTCAAATTTCATAATCTCAACATCAATTTCACTCAAGTCAATGGGATGTTTGGCCTGAATATGTTGTATTCTTTCATGTGTCAAGATTATGTATTCCATTAGCCGCTCTTCACTCAAAAATGTTGGGTGGTGATGCACACTTTGAAGGTGCTTGCTTGATGTTATAAACCTAATGACAAAAAAAACAGTTAGAATATGTGTAGAATTCGAAGTGATTTAAGTAAAAATATATTGACATACTCATTGACAATGAAAGAGTCTACAAATCCAAAAACTTGAGAATTAAGAATATCTTTCATTGGCATCAAGGCATCCTTTAGAACTTCTTTTATAGCCTTCAAATCTTCCACTTCATCGTCACATCTAGTTTGTATGACAGTCTTTGAGTGACCTTGGAAGTTCCCAAATTTGGGAATGGCTCTCTCTGCAATAAGAAGGGATCCTCTCTCCCTCAAACGCCCATGGAAGAGTCCCATATTGTGTATTTCTCTCAACCTTTCCAGGAAACCCCTAAAATAATAAATAAAATTACATAAATTAGGTTTGTAACAACAAAATTTTAGGATATTTAAGTTATAAACATTTAAAAATAGTAATGTTTATCAAACTAAGGAATTAGCTCACAGAATAAGATTCTCGGTGATCTGTTGTTTGTGAGAATGCGTAGTTCTAGCCATGCTGGTTTTTTGTATGAATTCTGGTAGTGGGACAGATGACTCATAAATAAACCAAGCACATTCGGGAGTTTTGAAGCTTATGATGCCTTTTATTATAAAGGCATGATTCTGTTTGGACATATCGTGGACACATTTTCCAGACTCATCATCTAGTGGGTGCACATGTGCCACTTGGAAATCTTTAAAAAGCTTGACTTGAAGCACATAGACATCAGCTGAAGTCCTCCATTGTAGGACAAGAGACTCAACTGGCTGATCGGGATAACGAATAGGTACGGACAGTGATATATCTGTACCTTGCACGGGCATCAATCTGTAAATTTTGTTGAGTTCTGGATTCATACTTAACACTTCAAAAGTAGAAGTTGAAGAAGCCAAGGTTATGTTTCCAGGACAGCAACCCAATGACTCCCAGTGACTGTATTCAAAACAATAAATTAGTAAGTAAAGTAACTGAACTCAAAATGGCAAGTGACTACTAATTAGGAAGCCAAATTCGAAATAGCAACCCATTGCTAAAGTAGCTAGTTTCAAAATAGCCATAGAAGTTTAAGACAATCATATCCAGCTTTGGCTCATCCCATCAACCAAAAGCTGCCCACCCTTCTACCTTTTTGAAATGATAGATATTTTTTTTAAATAAAACAAATACGTACATTTTAAAATGGAACCCTAACAAGAGATGTCATTCTTGCCTTTCAGGAACAGGCCGATTACGATCCATGTTCTGCTCGTGGTATAAGGGAAATAATGGACTTGTTTGGATATCTGTACTCGAAAGATGGGTGTCTCTTGGGCTACCAAAATTTGGGCAATGTCTTCTCTGTGCGGCTATATTCAACAAGATACCATGTGTTTGCTATGGAGGATGGCAAAGTGTGCGCTCTATTGTTTGGATACAATCTGGAGATTCCAGCTCTGCGCGAGAATCTGACAATCAAATGCCTTTCAACCCCTGTTAGGGTTCCATTTCAGGTGCTTGCTGTATCCATCTTTAGTGTAGTGAAATTGTGTGATGCTGCTCGTGCACTGCAGGATAAAGCACCATGTATGCCTCTTGCTGCTCGTCATCGTCTTAGTGATTATAAAGAACATGAGAGCGCATTCCTGTCTCTTGAGATTGAGAGCCAATACATCTTCCAGGCAGAAGACGGTCGTGGTTCTCTTCTTCGAGGGGCATTCTTCCCCTAGACCCTTAACCACTTCACCTAATTTTATGTCGCCTGCCATTTTCACTTCCAATGCCATGGATTTTCATTATGTTTGCACTCTGTATGGGTTGGGTTTTATTTTATGCTATGTATGCACACTTGGTTCTCTCCCTCTCCATTTTATTAGTAGTGTACTTGGTATTTAAGCAATTTATGTTGTTACACTAATTGAGCTTCTGAGGTTGAAATAGAGTTTCATGGCTATGCTGCTTTAGTGATATTCAAAACACAACTGCAAAAAGTTTGTTGGAGAGAGAGAGAGAGAGAGAGTTTCCATGAACTTTTCAAACATTTTGTGTACTCATGGTATTAGTTAGTCATGTAATAAACAACTTTCATGGCAAATTATATGGTACATCCAATTATATCTTCCTTTAGGTGCAACCTGATATTTTTGTAAATTGTACGAACTTTTTATCCAATGCTCAGAACATATATGAGAACTATTATATATGACAATGAGTACTAACAGATTTGAGAATGAGTACCAGCACTTATGACAATTATCAAATTCTTATTCAATACAAACATTGGATAAACTTGGGTTTTAAATTCTCCATGCTCAGAGAGTATAAATGAGTAGGAACGAATCGAATGGAGGAAGAAGTTGATGATGATACTGAACTCTTTAATTGTGAAAAAATTGAACAATACTTTATTTCAGAATGAACATTTCCTTATTTGAGAATGAGTATTGTTTTTTAAAATGAATACTACGCTATTTATTATAATTATATTAGACAAATGTGTAAAAATGAGTACTTCTTTATTTTAAAATGAGTACTACCTTTGCCAGAATGAATACTACGTAGTTCGAAATGAATGGTTATATTTGTAAGAGAATGAGTACTACTTTATTTCAGAATGAGTACTACCGGAATGTACTTATTTCTACGTATATTCGAATGTACCAACATGCTTCAATACATCTTATAATATTTTGAATTAATAAATAAAATACTGTTCTTCAACTCTAAATAATACGGAGTATCATATGTGTTTATGACATGTCTAAATGATGTAAGTTTTTATTTTATCTATTCAAATATTGACGTAGAAAATAAATTTCTACATTAATATTGTGTAAAAGAAGAGATGATAGAACTTTTCTAATTGATCGTACACTTAATTCAAATATATAACTTCATTCATTACGCAAAAGAATCAGACTCCAATCTTTAGGAAGCCGACATGTGGCATTTTTAATACTTAATATGCCACTTTATTCATGACATTCTCCACCGTATAAATTTATATTGTCTGTTTCGATTTACGAAATTTCATTGAAATCATTTTCAAACCATCTTATATAAAAAATGGTGTAGAATTAAAAAATAAAAATTACATATTAAAATGCTTACACACACCCTTCTCAGACTCTACAGTAGTGGGATTCAACTGGGTTGTTGTTGTTGTTGTTGTTGTCTTCCCTAGTTTAATTCCACTGCGTCGAGCATCCATCCCAAATTTATCATCTATTTAAAAAAAATTATAATCTATTCGAACCCATTATATTTGAATAAATAGAGAATTAGTTACTTACTCAGTATTATGTATATTTAATATAATTTGATTTTTTCTTTGAAAAAAAATATTACCTCCGTCCTGAAATAGATTACAATCTTTTTTTCTTTTTCCACTCGATAACTTTTGTTTATTTGTCTATTTTCATTGAGTATTTAATGAAAAATATTATTGTCACCCCTCGTTTTGTAGAACTTTGACATAGTCTTTTTAATGTGTAATTTTATTCTTATTGATGTACCCATTTTTAAATAGAATGATTTCAAAAGACAAGAGGTTTTGCCTCGTAACTCCCAATTTGTAATCAAACTAGAGACGAAGAGAGAATATAATTTATATTTTCTTTAAGGGGCTGTTTGGCAACTTCTGAATAGGTAAGTGCTGAACCAGTAAGAGGTCTGAACCATTAAGCGCTGAACGAGTAAGAGGTCTGAATCATTAAGAGCTATTATATTGCTTAACTATTCAGAGGCAAATATCTGATCAATTCAGATAAGAGGTCTTAGGGTCCGTTCCGTAGGACGTATTTTTTCTACTTATTACTTATTTTTATTAAAATCAGATCAGACCAGACCTAATCAGATCAGATCAGATCCAATCAGATCAGATTAGATTCAATCAGATCAGATCAGACTCAATCAGATCAGACCAGATCCAATCAGATCAGATCAGAAACAATTAGATCAGATCAGATCCAATCATATCAGACCAGACGAGATCAAATCCAATAATATCAAATCAAGAAAAAATATAAAAGATAATAGTTATATTTTTCAAGGATTAAATAATAATTACTATTATTTGATTAAATCACGTTACTTTATTTAAAACTACACACACGTAAATCTTAATAAATATTATAATTTTAAATATTATTTTTGTTATATTATTATTATTGTTGTTATTATTATTATTATGATCATCATCATCATCATGATTATTATTATTATTATTATTATTATTCAACTACAAACTGTTATTTTTAATAATTGTTTAGCTTGTAGAATAGAAATGATGCATGGAAGCAATGTTAAAGCTTAAAAAGTTTTATTTTTCATACTTTAAAAAGAGTTATTTTAAAATACTTGTTTATAAAATAATTATACAAAACTTAGTTTTCAAAACTATAAATATTTTATACTTAAAAAGACTTTTAAACTTTAAAAAGGGTGAGTTTATGACAAAATTGATAGAGGTGAAAGGGATATTAGTGTTTAAAATTTTATACGATCTTTAATTTGTAACATGAAATATATTATTATGTAATTTGTATATAGAATGTGATATTTTTGTAGAATAGCATCAATATTTTCTAATATTTGGTTATTTTAATACCGATTATTTAGTTTTCACAAAAATTAAAAAAGTTGTGATATTGAAAAGATGTTTAATATTTTTTAAAAAAAGTTTAAACATATCAATGATTAGCTGATTTTCTTATTTTACTTTTTTTATGTATATATGAATTGTAATACTTTAAAACTATTAAATTTTGTAATAATTTTAAGTTTAATTTAAATCAAATTTAAATTCATTTACACCAGATTTAATTAGAGAAAATCAAATCCAATCAGATCAGATCCAATCAGATCAGACCCAATCAGATCAGATCAGAACTTCAAAAATTCAGATCAGATTCAATCAGATCAGGCATACGGAACAGAGCCTTAACCATTCAGACTCTGTATAATACTTAACCATTCAGAGACAAATCTTTTAACCATTCAGACATCTGAACCATTAAGAGGCTGAAACAAACAGTCTGAACCATTAAGTGCTGAACCATTCAGACATCTGAACCATTAAGAGGTTGAAACAAACAGTCACTTAGTCACTTACTGTTTTTAGCTATTTATACAACTATATTAGAATGTGGTATTTATTATTCCTTACCTACTAGTATATATTTGAAACAGTTATGTTGATGCCAATGGAATAAAAGGTCTTTGAGGCTTGTGATCTTGCTGCTATTCTCATTGTCACGGAGTACAATATTTGGTTGAAATCCAATCATAGACTTGCAGTTTAATTGGCAATAAAAAGAGAATTTATATATCTTTGACAACAGAGGGAGGGGCATACCGAGAAAGATTATGGAAATGCTGCATTAATTTTCTCGAATCTTTTTTTACTAGGATTGTCTTCTTCTTTTTTTACTAGGATAAATTCTTCTTCTACAAAGTTCATAAATTTTGATAGGGTAGATTACACTTACCCTAAGTTTAATTTGAGTGTGACACTCGCCTAGCTTAAGTCTCATAGGTTGCTCAATTTAAAAAATTTCTGATTCTAATTCTTGACCTTTTGATAGTCTCAAATCGGTCCTATTCAAACCCACCAAGCTATACCTTTTCCATTGCACATCCCAATTATACGTACTCCCTCCATTTTAAATTAATACCTACATGACTGAAGATGAAGAGATGACTATTTTTTAAAAAGATATATGTAGGAGAAGAACCAGGTAATATTTGATAATAAAAGAATAATCACAAAAAAGAAAAAGTAAACTTTAAAAAAAACCAGTTGGACATTTTACAGAGGCATAATCACTTCGGATCTTTAAAAAACACAGCGGACATTTGGATCGAAAAACACAGCATAATCACTTGGGATCTTCAATTTCAGATAAAATAGTAGAAAAAGAAAAAAACATACGCATGATATACAGGACAGAGGCATAAATCAATTCTGATCCAAAAAAAAAAAACACAGCGGACACCTCCCTCAAATCAATTCGGATTTTAGAACAAAACTGGGGGATAGTAGTACATAAACACAAATCAGATTTTACCAAGGTAGAATATACGTGTAGATCATACCATATTGAGTTTAAAAGGGTTTAAATTTGATAAATTTGGAATACCTGGAACGGAAATCGAAAATTACAGCGTGCTCTGTTCCATTTCCGGCGATTAGGTCTTTTCGGCGAAGAGAAACGAAAGAAATGAAGAAAAAGAGTCCCCCTGCTCTGTTGCGATTGCTCTTTCTTTCTCTTTTTTTTTTTTGTTGATGGATGGATGAAGGTTAGGGTTGGGCCGTTGGGCTATGGTGCTCGATGGGTTCTGTTTTGGCCATTCAATTTTTATCCAAAACCAATCAAATTGGAGTTTTGATTCAATTTTGCATTAAAAAAATATGTAAACGGTAGGTTATTTGGTTCAGTTTATGCGGTTTTTATTTCATTTATTTTTTGTTTTTTGGTTTATACACATTAAAAACTTATAAAAATAGTAACTCGATGAAGCAATATGTAGGGTTGGATTTGATTTTTTTGTTTGATTTTTACACAAAACCAAAATCAAAGGGAAGGTTAGGGTCCGTTTGGTATAAGGAATTGGTGGAATTGGAATTGAATTGGAATTGTAATTCCATTGGATTCAATTCCATAGAATTGAATTCTGTCAATTTCAATTCATTTTTTGCACTATCAATTCCAAATCTACATAATATTTTTGCTACCAAACACTAGAATTGGAATTGAAGTCCCCAATTCCAATTTCATGTACCAAACGGGGCCTTAGTGTTCTGTTTGATTCAATTACATAACAAAGTATGTGTCGAGTGTCCAAGAAACATCTAGGATATTCTAAATATACTTCCAAAAACATCGTGTGTAAATATTAACTACGGAGAATCTGTGTTTTTTGGTATAATAATTTCATTTCCATATTTCCATTATAACATCATTATTTTTTATGTAAATATGCAAATTACTTATATCAATTTTTAATGTTAATATGATTATGTATTAGGATTAGTTATTTGTGCTTATATTTTTAGGTTTTTTAAAGTTTATAATATGGTTAAAAATGTTAATTAATAGTTAAGAAAATAAATTATAACCGACTAATCAATTATTTACACATATATTTATATAATTTTTTGAAATATCACATATACTCCAAGAAAGTTCAGTTTATTCAATTCAGTTTTCCAAAGTAAAAATCAAAACGGAAACCAAAGAATAACGGTTCGGTTCGGTTTTTTAACATTTGGTTACAATTTTTTCGATTCGGTTTTTTTCTAGCTAGTTTCAATCGGTTTCGATTCGGTTTGTGATTTTCGATTTTTCCAATCCACCCCTAGTGTTGATAACCTCTTGTAAATTCAGTCCTTTATTCATCATAGGTTGAGGTATTTATACCTGCAAAGACGTAAAATGTAAATAAATAAAGAAACAAAATCTTCTAAATAGTAAGAATAATATATCATATTTAACAATATTGAATACTTTTCCAGTATATCATAACTCTTGGTCGCCCTGACGTAGCACGATCGTGACAAAGTCTGGTTCCCTCGGTGGTCCTCTAGCAATCAACTCATCCATCTCCTTCTTCAGAGTAACACACTCTGACGTATTGTGGGTGCTGTTACGGGTGTACTCACAATATTTTGCAGCATCCAAAACATTATAGCTTTCTTGACCACGGGGAGGGCTGGTAAGATTGGACCGCATGGACTGGAGGCCTGCTCGCGTGGTAGCCTGTAGGGTTTGGTCCCTTTCCAAAATCCTTTCGGTTCCCGCCCTCGCCAGTTGGCTGAGCGCTCTTCTCTTCTTTCTGGGCAGACGCCTCATCATCATCTTCTTCTAACGTCACGTACGTTGCCCTAGACAACATCTCCTAGTACATACGAAGCGGGTTCTGTCGCAGCTCCTTGCGCACATTCCCTGAGGCAAACTTTTTACCTTGCCGCTCCGGACAGCGAGTTGGCATCACACTTCATGCTCATTGCTACAATTTCTTTCACTCTGCCACTCCGGACAGCAAGTCAGTAGCGTACTTCGTGTTTAGTGCTACAATTTTGTCCCTTTACCGCTCTGGACAGCGAGTCGGCAGTTCACCTCGTATCCATGGGTGCAGATTCTTTCACCTCGCCTTACTCGTGTTTAGTGCTACGATTTAGTTCCAAGATTTCACCACAACTATCGCGAACCGCTTACAAGAAAGATTTAAAAGCTATCTTTTACCTTTCCACCCCAATGATTTGAAGGCTATATTGGAACCTTTTATCCAAGGATTTCTCGACTATGTTTTACCATTACAATTGAGAATTTAACAGCTATTCTTGACTGTAAGAATGTGTGTATGAAAACACAAAGTATGTTCTACAAAACGGCTTAACAAAAGGATGAAGAACAAGACTTATCTCGTGTCAAACAAAAGATATACTCTCTAGAAAAGATACAATATCAATCTTTAGATATGAGAGCATATATCTAAACCAAAAGCTCAATAGTGTGTGCATAAAAATCATGAGAAAGAGGCTCTTGAAATAGTCAAAATATTAAGAATGAAGAACTAAAAGATGAACATACTTAGAATAAACAATAAGAAGTTTGGAGCTTATACCCCTTTTAAAACATGAAGGGGCCCATATTTATAGTGGGAAATGTTAATTAGCCGTTGGAGACTAATAAGAATAGATTTTGACTAATTAAAGGTGATTAAATTTGAAATTTGGAATTTGAAAATTCTCCAACAGTAACAGTAGCATGGTACCGACCAAACGATAGGAACGTATCGGACTGGTAGTAAGGTGTACCGACATAGAATGTTTGCCTGGAATAGACATTCTCTGGGTATCGTCCATGCGGTAGGACCTACTGTTACAACGATAGATGATACCATGACAGGTACCGGCTATTGATATGATTTTTTACATTTTTGGCTTAGTCCTTTTTATTTGAGTTTAAAATCTTTTGGATATTTAAAAAGTGTGTAGGAAAGTTTTAAACATATCTTTTGAGTCCATTCGAGCTTGTGAATATAAGTATATAAAATCATAATATTGCATTTCTTTCTATTTATATTCTACACTAGTTTGGTGTTTCAACATTATTCTTGAGAACCATTTCTTAATGGATTTTTATTGTACTCGAAACAATGAAACAAACATTAGTTCATAAATTGTTGGTTAACTTCAAAACATGAGATTTAGCCAAGCAAGGCTAACACATGCATCTTTCTTCTACACAACAACCACAATCAAGTTGAATTGCACAAGAGTAGAGTTTGGGAGAGTGTGTATAAAAATTGCATTCTATAGAGAGACTGTTTCTAAAGAGATCCCCGGCTCAGAGTAAAAAATTGTATTAATTGAGTACCTCCTATTTTATTAATTCAAAAAAATAAAGACAATTTAGAAATTTATTTTCTTTATTCCATCAGAATCCAAAAGTGAAAAAAATAGTGAATTTTTACGAGATGATGGAAATAAATGGATAGGACCCTATAGGTGTCCAATTTTTCAAAAAAAAAAGGGGGAGAAATGAAAGGATAGAATGGAGAAGGTGTTGTCCACACGCCGCTAGTAGTGTTGATTCATTCCCATAGCCCATAGGCAATCTGGGATCACGCCACCTGGTCCTGATTCATTCCCCTTTTTCTTTCTTTTTTTTTTTTAAAAAAAATAAATAAATAAATTTAATTTTATTCAATCACAAAGGCGGGTCCGGAAATTAATTATCCTTGTTCTGGCAAAGTCCACTTTCGTTCAAAATCGGGGGGAGATACCCCACCCAGCCAGCCGTGTTGCCCTCTCATTGGTCCACGTTCCCCTCCCCTCCCCCCGTCAGCTTTCCACGCGTCGCCCCTCGCCGTTCGACAACGCCCCTCTCTCTCTCCACATTTGGACGGCTCAGATCGCACGTCGCTGTTTGTTTACGTGTCCTCCCCTGCCCGCCCGGTCACGGTCAGTTGACCGAAATTCAGTCCCCCCCCCACCCCCCCCCNCCTTCTTCTTCTTTCCCCCTCCCCTCATAAAACATTCAATTCTTTCTTCTTCTTTTTTTTTTTCACTTTTGTTTTTTGGAATTGAAATTGAATATTGGGAGCTTTTTTCTTCTTCTTTTTTGTAATGACTGCGAAATGTGGAGGAGAAACGGAGACGAGTGTCCCGGTTGAGCCGAGCACGGAGGGCGCCAGGCGCCGCCGGATGGAAATTCACAGGTTCAGATACGTCGCAGCCGCGGAAAACGCGGCGGCTCGTCCGCCTGAAAATGGACGGAAGAGGAAACAGGATGAAGTTTCCCCCGGTTGCCTGACCGGAAGATTCGAAGAATCCACCGGAAAGGTTGTCGAGAAGGTGCCGGAGGTCGAAGTTTCCGGCAGTCCGGAATCTGGTGTTACCACTGGATTAGGATCCGGGTTGAGCTCGGATCATGGCCCGAGGTTCGGCGTAACCTCTGTTTGTGGCAGGAGAAGGGAGATGGAAGACACGGTGGGGATCCACCCGTTTTTATGCCGGAATTCCCACAGAAGCTCCGGCGACTCTCATTTCTTCGCCGTCTACGACGGCCACGGCTGCTCCCATGTAAGTCCTCACGAATTAAAATTTATCAGGAGCTAATGACCGAGTTACCCCTGTGAATTTCCTGATCACCGTTTCGTCGTCGATGCATTCTAGGTTGCCGTGAAATGCAGGGACCGAATGCACGAGATCGTGAAGGAGGAGCTCGAGAGCGGGAGCAGATCCACCTGGAAAGATACCATGTCCCTGAGCTTCTCCAAAATGGACCAAGAGATCACCGACATGTCCAGCGGTCCCACCGCCGGAGCCCGCCCCTGCTGCCGCTGCGAGCTGAAGAGCCTCCACTGTGACGCCGGCTCCACCGCCGTCGTCGCCGTCGTAACTCCGGACAGCATTGTAGTCTCCAACTGCGGCGATTCACGTGCCGTGCTCTGCCGTAAAGGTGTCGCCGTCCCACTCTCCCACGACCACAAGGTAATACTCTCTCGCATTTTTTAAAACTTTTTTTTTTGTTTTGATTTTTTATAATTAATCGTGAAAAATATATTTAATTCGGAGCTTTGTACTCAGCCGGATCGACCCGACGAGCTAACACGGATCCAAGACGCCGGCGGTTACGTCATCAACTGGGACGTCCCTAGAGTCGGTGGATTACTGGCCATGTCTCGAGCAATTGGTATACATACACATCTCAATTAACCAATTATTATTATTATTTTGTTTTTATGTTTTCCTGATTTATATTGAAATAAATCAAATAATAAATCAGGAGACGATTACTTCAAGCCTTACGTGATACCGGAGCCGGAGGTGACGGTGACGGAGAGAACAGAGCACGACGAGTGCTTGATACTGGCAAGCGACGGGCTATGGGACGTGGTGTCGAGCGAGACGGCGTGCAACGTGGCCAGGATGTGCTTGAAACACGGGAGACCACCGTCGTCTCCGGCGAGATCGCCGGCCAGTGCATCGGAGGCCTGTTACGGATCCGACCTGTCGTGCTGGGACGCGTCGATCCTGCTGACGAAGCTGGCTTTGGCGCGGCATAGCTCCGATAATTTGAGCATTGTGGTCGTGGATCTGAGGCCAAGAGGCGTGTAAAAACTAAAAACAAATGGGTTATTTAATAAAAATTGGTGTAATTAGGGCGAGATTATTATTAATAATCATGACTTTTAGTTTGGTAACATGAGATGATGTGAGATGCGAGATGAGAATTGATACTCAATACTCCCTCCGTCCCCAATTTGATTACAATTTTTTTTTTCTCTCCTCTCGATAACTTTTGTTTGTTTACGCGATTTCATCAAGTATTTGATAAAATAAAATATTCTTGTTACCTCTTATTTTGTAGAACTTTTGACGTAGTTTTTTAATATGTAATTTTTATAACTTATTGATATACCAATTTGTAAATAAAATAATTTTAAAAAGTAGAAAATTTTACTCCGTAACTCGCAATTTGTAATCAAATTGGGGACGGAGGGAGTAGTAGTGTTTGGGGGGTTCTTTAATTGGTTGATGTCCCAAATTCCGCAAATGTGAAAAATTGGTTAAGATGATCTCCTCTTGAGACTTGAGAGAACCATTCTCCGTATTTTTAGTTTATCATTTACTACATTCTCTTTAGTCTTTATGATTAGTGATGGAAAATAATTTGAAATATTTGCACTATATTAATAGTAAAACTTTAATTTATTTTTCCAAAACAATACTTAAACTGCTTTATTCTTGTATTAAATCTATTTAGGAAAAATAATTGTATTTCATTTCATATATTTAAGTAAATTCCCAGAGAATTTCACCAAATCCTAAAAGTATAATTGAATTACAAAACAATTTACTCCGTAATAGACAGAAAAGCACGGAGTTTGAGAGCACAGAGAATGGCAATAATAGTGAATTTGTTGTATTTAGAATAAGGATAATGGCTAGACCTAATTTTCGACTCGAGATCTGATCTGAAAATACTGGGTCTTGAACCAAGGTTTTGCTAACTGAATCAGAAATTGATCGAACTCGAAATGACCCGCTAAAATTGGGTCAAATCCGACCTGACTGACCCACCAATCTAAATTTTTTTTAGAATCATACATTTTAATATGAAATATAGTGTTATAAAAATAAGATTATGATTATACTTCTTTGCTTGCTACTCCTTTTTTGTGTATAAATTTATATCATCATAGCAAATTTTAATGATGTCGCATAATAATCTTACATTTTTTTAAAAAATTTCGACATATTTAATTTTTTTACTCGTAATATTCACACTAAGTCTTAAAAATTACTTAAAATTTCAAAAGAATAAATGAAACTCATAACGTGTTAGGTCAACCCGAACCTAATGACACTGGGTCACGAACACGTAGTTATCAACCTGAACCCAGACTTCTCCAATCCTGAAGTAACCCGAATCAGAGGTGACCGAATCCGAACCCGACCTAATCGACCGATTTGCCATATCTAATAATGGCTTATGCGGCATACTACACGTACGCAAACATGGGAAGTGATGAAGAAGCTAATTCAATCGGACACAATCAATTACGTGAATGGCGGGATTACTTTTGACGGATTGATGAGATATAATACCCTGATTTGAAAATAAATGAATTGGAGAAAGAAAAATGTTTAAAAAGATTGATAGTACTACTCATACTAATAAGATGCATCTTTTAATTTTTCCGAGAGCTCATAATCTAAAAACTCCAAAGTTAAGCATGTTTGACCTAAACAATTTTAAGATGGGTGATCCTTTGAAAAAATTCTTTGGGTGTGCATGAGTGATGACAAAGTGGGTAGGAAAGACTTGTATTGATTTGTGAGACCAGTCTACAGTACTTTGAGCATACACTTACGGCCAAGGTGGGCCGGGGTGTTGCAAATGGTGTTAGAGCAATCCTGCAACTGTGATGGGCCAACGGGCTTAGTTCATTTAGCAGGGAAGATTTAGGGGTTTGAAAAAAAGAATGCACTGGGGAAAGAAAAAGGTTCAAAAGGATTGATAGTACTACTCATACTAACAAGATGCAATTTCTTTTTGCGAGTTCATCACCTAGAAACTCCTAAGTTAAGCATGTTTGACCTGGAACAATTTTAGGATGGGTGACCTCGGGAAAATTCCTTGGGCGCACACGAGTGAAGATAAAATGTACGGGAAAGACTTGTATTGGTTTGTGAGGCCAGTCTACTATACTTTGAGCATACACTTACGGTCAGGGTGGGGGCCGAGGTGTTACAAGTGGAATTTATAATCCTATTTCATCTTTTCAGTTGCGTCTGCGCGTAACTCAAGTTTTAATTCTTTTCTACTAATTTTTTTTGTATAATATTTTTTTTGATATTGTGTTATTTTGTTGGTATACAACATTTTTTGTATGTACAAATGTAATGAGGGTACATGTTTTGGTACATTCTACAAAAAAATGTAATGGCGGTACCATGTTTAAAATATAAAAAAGAAATTGACCTTTCATCTATTGCAAATTTTTGTTTTAGTACGTTGCAAAAAGCTTACTTTTTTGTGTAATGCATATTTTTTTGTAGTATTCTGAAAAAATCTTCAATTTTTCTAAACTATTGTAACTTTTTTTGTATGCTCCAAAAATCTAATTTTATAGGTATATTGCAATTTTATTTTGGTATGTAGAAAGTAGATCTACAAATTTTTATGATTTTGTTCTTTGTTTTGAATAATACGTTGATCACTTGATCTCTAAATAGAAATTTTTTTAATTATGTCTCTTAACCTATTGGATCAACCTGAATCCGATAATTATGAAAAAGCACTATTAGACTTAAGCTCGAAGTAACCTGAAGATGAAATAATTTAACTCGAATATGATAATACCAAACCTAAGCCGGACCTTACCATTTGTTTTTCCAGGTCTAGTCTTGACGTCCATCTAATGTAGCTCTAAATCAAAGTGAGCTATGATGGCCATTTCGATCCTTAAGGAATATTTGCGGGATACATGAGAAAAGGTCTCTTAATAATTGATTCCCTCTTTCTTTGAAACCCTTTACAACCAATCTTACTTTGAAATGTTCAATGTTCTTATTCGGATCTAGTGTTTTTTGAACACCCATTTAGATTCTACGGGTTTTGCTCCATTGGATAATTTTATTGAATCCCAAACATCGTTTTTCTTCATGGAGTTAAGCTCATCCAGCATATCATTATTCCATTCAGAAAACTGATCACTATTGATGGGTTCATTATAAGAGGTGGGATAAGTGAACCATCCGACATCCATTTCAACTTCAGCCAAATAGGTTATATAATCATCAAAATTAGTACACGTTTTAAGTCTAGATGACCTTTTAAGCTGATTAGCGGGTTTGACATGGTTTTGATGTTTGTCATTTGATGTGCCTTCATTCTTGGGTGGAGTTTGAGTAGCTTCAGGCTCTGAGTGTGAAGGAAGTGGTGCACTGATGTGAGGAGCTTGTACAAGAAGAGTAAACAGAGGCAAATTAGTAGTCGATGTAGATCCCCGTGCCTATTGTACTTTTAGTAAATCTGTATAAGGATTTTCACTCCTCTCATTGATCTTTAAGTCCTCTAGGAAATGAGCATGCTTAGTTTCCCCGATACGGGTGACGTAAAAGAATAATAAAATCTATAACCCTTCGAGTGATCGGGATATTTGATGATGTGACAAGTTACAGTTTTCATGTTAAGTTTCTCTAAAAAAGGGTTATGCAGTTTAGCTTCAGGAAGGCATTCCCATACTTCCATATATCTGAGACTCAGTTTCCTTCCATCTCAAAGTTTGTAAAAAGTTTTAGGGACAAATTTGGAAGGAAATTGAATGAGTATATGAACTGCTGTTTTTAAGGTCTCGGTCCAGAGAAATAAGGATAAATTAAAGTTGGCTAACATATTGCGCATAATATTCATTAGGGTCCTATTTCTTCTTCAGCAACATTATTTTCTTTAGGAATACCGAGCATGGTGTATAGGTTTACAATCCCCTGGCTTTTACAAAACCCAAAAAATAGATGAGGAGCTTAAACCAAATCAACAAGTCTATCGTGATATTCGCCTCCTACATCTGATCAGACAATTTTTATTTGAAAATCATGTTTTTTCAATTTCAGTTTTATAATTTTTAAAAGTTGTAAATGATTCAAAATTTTCTTTAATGAGATACAAGTACATGTAACGAGAATAATCATCAATAAAAGTGATAAATGAATCATGTCTGGTTATTCCAGCGATGTTGTAAGGGCCACTAATTTCAAAATGTAGAAGTTATAATAATTTTGAACTCCTAGTGGAACTTTTCATAGTTATGGTTGTCATTTTGCCTTTAAGGTAATTGACACATGTTCCAAAATTAGTGAAATTGAGAGATGATAAGACTTCATCCATCACGAGTTGAGATAAGCGATCTTGTGAAATATGGCCTTAACGTTGATTCCACATCACGAGTGAAGTTTTTAAGTCTCGTTTTCTATTGGTCTTTGTTACGTTTTCATTAATATTATATGATAACAAAGATTTAGAAAAACTATCTTCTAGTTTTAACTTATAGAGACCATTATAAAAAAAACCAGTATCAAACAATTGAGAATTTAAAGAAACAATAAGTTTGTCATGACCATATGAAACTTGAAAACCATCAATGTCTAACTTTGGTCCTGATACAAAATTTCGAATCCTGATACAAAATTTCGAGTAATCTCGAGAATATATAAGGTATCAATGTATCATAAAGTTTAATTTCCAATTGTGCCCCCACCACACAACTATGTCTGAGATTTCACTACCCAACTAGACTTAACAGTGTTTGATAAGCCTTACAGCTACAAAATTGAAGTCACGCAAGCCTCTTAGTCTATCACCTAAAACTTGATCACTCGAGTCACAAGATTTCACCACTTGACATAATCTTAACGTCAAGATATCTCTAACAACTTGGCGTAATCCAACACCAAGATTTTCTCTCACTACTTGATGTAGTCCCAAATCTAAGTTTTGATGCAGATTGGTGGAAAAGATTAAACTTTGCATCTAGCACTTGCAGAGGTCTTATACTTAGCATAATTGCCTCCTAGCGTAATTGGTATTAAACAAACTTCGGGTTCAATCCCTTTGCATCCATTGTCTTACCAATTGCACAATGCCCAACAACAAAACTTTGAGAATAAACATTTTATACAATTCAGCACACCGTATTGCAACCCCACCACAAGAAACCCCTACCTCCTACTTGAATTTATGGGTTAGTAAACACCACTTGCCCTTATTCGTTTGGTCATGCCCCAACTAAAGCTAAGATTTTTTGAGAACGTCGATACTAGTGATGTAACACCCTAATCCGTCCAGGTCTGCAGCCCTTTTCGGACTAAAGTATAAACTTGGTATTCGTAATCATTTAAAATATTTCAAATATTTAAAACTTTATTTCATAATAATTCAAAATAATAACGGAGTAATTTAATGTTGCGGAAGCTTAATAAAACATAATACAAACATAATTAATTTTTGTCTTTTCAACAGTAACTTTAATGCAAAACACACATCCGTCCGATCTTCTCGTCCCATCTGCCTCCAGGAAATCATTTCTTCATTCTTTTTGTTTACCTGCGTGTAGCAAATAAAACATACTACACGCTCAGCGTTTAAGCTGAGTAAGCATATCTAATGCGTCGAACATCCATATAAATTGAATCTCAATTCACAAACAACCATTTGATGTCATGCACACAATATATAATTCATTCATGATATTTTCCATTTTTCAATATTCAACATTCAATGCTCAACAATATCTTTAACTAAGCTTAGTCTAAAAGATTTGATGATTACCAACTCTTAAACTATTTCTAGTTTAAGGTACTTCTAACCAACTCNTCTTCATTCTTTTTGTTTACCTGCGTGTAGCAAATAAAACATACTACACGCTCAGCGTTTAAGCTGAGTAAGCATATCTAATGCGTCGAACATCCATATAAATTGAATCTCAATTCACAAACAACCATTTGATGTCATGCACACAATATATAATTCATTCATGATATTTTCCATTTTTCAATATTCAACATTCAATGCTCAACAATATCTTAAACTAAGTTTAGTCTAAAACATTTGATGATTACCAACTCTTAAACTATTTCTAGTTTAAGGTACTTCTAACCAACTCTTAAGCTAGGTCATTAGTTTAAGGTACATATTCTAATTTATTTACCAACTCTTAAACTAGCCTTCGCTTAAGGTACAAATCCAAAAAACTGAACAGTAGATTACTAACTGTCAGGTTGGGTGGTATCCCCAAACGAGTTTCTCTAGTTTGGTTTATGGATCCCGTACGTACGTTTTTACCCAAGACCACCGAATATACGTTTTATACTCGCAAGGCCCATTCTAATCAGAAGTCTATCTTAGAGGTCTTCTAAGTAGCCTAAGAGTATAATTTATTAATTGATTATTCTCAACTTAACAATTCATGATCATCATTCAGAGTATTCAACATAATTAATTATCATAATCAATAGTCAAACAATCATAAGATCTAATAGCAAATAGCGGTCTAGTATCGAGTGTTAACACCCGAACTTACCGTCATGCATCACATTACATTTTTATATATCAAAACATCATTTTATTGTACAAAATCATATTTATACTGTCTATAATTAGTTGGTATCAAAAGTAGGATTTTAGAGCATAATTTGAGAAATATTTTTCGAAGCTGTAACTCGAAATGAAGTTGATTTAATATAAAAATAATCTATTTATATATGTAAAATGTGGGAAAATCGATTATTTAATGAGTAATAATCGATTAATAATTAAAATCGATTTATAGTTTATAATTAATCGATTTTTAGCTAAAATCGATTTAATAATGCTAAATAATCGATTTTTAACTAAAAATCGATTTAATAATTCCAAATAATCGATTATATAATAAAAATCAATTTATTTTAATAAAATAATCGATTATGTTTTTCTGACTTCCAGCATCTCATCTGAAACAAAGTTCTAATCGATTCTTAGGAGTAGATAATCGATTTTCGGCTACTGTTCATCATCTTCTTTCTCTCGTCAGTTTCGAGTGTTATCGTTTTTAATCACTAAACTTCAATTAAATTATATAGAGATGTTCTCCAAGGTTCATAGATCATTTTGGAATCTTTTAAACATATTTTTAACATCAAATTCAAGGTTTGTGATTCTTGGTTCTTAAGCATGTCAAACACAAAAACTCAACCAAACGACCGTTTATGAACGTAAAAACGATCTATACGAATATTCTAATCACTAGATATATCTACGGGCTTACCTTGAAGCGTAATGGAGGTTTTGGAAATTTTCCAGCGAAACTTCCGGCAAGGATTGTGGCTTGCTCCGTCGACCTTACACCAAATTGACAGCACAACTTCGTTCTCCACACTCACAGCTTTCTCTCAGAGTTTATTTGAAGGAAAAAGGTGAAGAAATGGTGAAGTTTTGAGGGGTTTAAATAGGAGGGAGCAATGGCATGAAGACATGGTTGATGACTCCCTCTGCTACTGTTGTGGCGTCTCAGTGGAGGGAGCGGCGATTTCTACTGGCTGCAAACGCAAGTCCCTGATTGGGACTAATTTTGGTCCCAATCGGGTACACTTTTTGGTCCAACTTTCTCCAAATTGAAATCCGATTGAAACATTGGGATCAGACAGTCAAACTCTACACATTGATATAATTTTCATTATTTATTTTTAGGTCCTTCTCAGTAATTAATTAATTATCAATTAATTAATATTGATAGGCCTATTTTTGGGGCGTTACAAGTTATACCTACAAAAATGAAGTCTAACTATTTAACATATAAATATGTGAAAATAAACTCTTTTTTGTTGGTAGGGTGTCTTGAACTCAAGACTTTTCATAAGGAAATAATCTTTAGTGTGGAGTGATTACCAATGAATCTCTCCAACTTGTCAAAAACTTTGTAGGGTACACATTTTTTACTAGCTAACCCATCGCATAGCGGCCCCAACCCAAGAAACCCCGACCTCTAGCTTGGACTTACGAATTAGTATACAACGCTTGCTCTTCTCGTTTAGTTATACCCCAACTAGGGCTACCCCTAAAATAATATAGTGATGTTAACTATGTATGTTCAATTACACCAAATCAAAAGATCAATAAACTCTATGTTATTTTCTCAAATTATTATTCAAAATTTGTTTTAAAAAATGTTTTCAAAAATTTAAATTACAAAATTTTCTTGCGTTACATACGATGTTTGACTGAAATTATTTTTAATTTATATTATATGAAAATCTGTGTAAATTAAATAATAAAAAATACATATTTAAAAATCAGAGGTGACATAATTAATTATTTTTTATAAAATGAACAACAAAAAAAGAAAAATCAAGTTAATGAAGTTTGAAATATGAAAAGTATAAAAACTAAATGTTAATAATTTTTAAATCACTGATGAAAGGAATGAATTGAAACAAATCCAATAAACTTGAAGGAATCGAAAGAAAGGCAAAGGTGTTTGAAAAGTTTGGAAGAAGTTGGAAGAAATTAGGACGAAAAGTTAGAAAGAAATGGAAAGGGTTGGAAAACATTGAAAGTTAAGACTTAAGAGTGCATTAGGTCGAAAGATCCTAGAAAATTAATTTGTATGAAAAGAATGATTTTCACGAAACATTGTATTCTATTCGTATTTTTCAGTGTTTGATAGAATTTTTTTCTAACAAAAAAATCACTCTTTGTTAGAAAAGAAATTTCCCAAGTGCATATTTTGAGATAATTTCAAAATATTTTAGACAATATGATTTATTTATTTTTAACATAGAATCGATATCAAGGCTATATTATAGACCTCCTATTTGTAGGATTTGAAAGTGGATGTGGGGAGACAGTGGAGATGGGTGGGTCAGGGCAAGGGTAGTTCTTTGCTTTGTTCATACAATCAGATGACTCGCTTAAAAATGTCAGGTTGAGGGTAGTAAAAATAAAGGATTATGCTATTTATACCCATACTCTAATTTGTACCTTACAGTTTTGCATTAACATTTTGTGTTGGTGTAAAACTAATTTTTGTTAAATGTACCAACATTTGTGTCTGTGTGAAACGTACCAACATTTATTAACGCACCAACACTTGTGCCGGTGTAAACGATCGAAATATTTGTGCAAACCTGTGGTGTACAAATGAGATATATTTGTTGGTGTAAGTGTAGTATGGTCCAAAAATAAAATTAGGACAAATAAGGCAAATTATACAGTACAGCGGGTTTACCACTTTACCTTATTTCAGATACAATCGGCAATTGAGGGACTGAAAAATTAAATCTGGTTCTTCGATTCTAGTCGATTCAGGTATCCGATATAATATAGCCTTTCTGGAAGGGAAGCCTGAACCCTAGCGTGACTTCTTCTGTAGCGGCTGCAAGAAATGGGCGAGATGAAGGATCTGTACGTAAGCACGACGCGCTCCCTCCTCCGTCTGGATCTGAAAAACTACAATTTCGATCCCTTGTTAGAATCGGGAGAGCCTCCGCCACAAGCAGCGGTTTCCTTGGAATATGGAAAGAACTATCCGTATGGGTTGCGTGTTATCAAATCCAGCCGATCCAAGATCTACATGGTCGGCGAGAAAACTACTGGCTACTCTTGCACGGCCGAAGTTCACGAATTCGATCCAATTGCAAATAGCTTGCAGAAAGCAAACATCTCTTTGAGAGGTTCAAAATCGTGGCCGATCGTGGCAGAAATTGATGGAAAGATCTATGTCCTCGAAACAGGAAGCTTGTATCATCAACCGGGNGACAATGATGATAGGCCTGATCGTGTGGCCGGCCATTTTGTTCTGGGCCATAAGCTGTACATCTTGACATGTTCTAATAAGGTATACCACTATGATACCAAGAGAAGACTGTGGGGTAGAGAGGAAGACATGCTTAAATATTTCTGCAGATATTTAGGCTACCCTTGGATAATTCCAGCGGGTGGAACAACTGTGTGTGGTGGAGATGTCATTCTTGCCTTTCAGGAACAGGACGATTACGATCCCTGTTCTGCTCGTGGTATAAGGGATATAATGGACTTGTTTGGTTATCTGTACTCGAAAGATGGGTGTCTCTTGGGCTACCAAAATTTGGGCAATGTCTTCTCTGTGCGGCTATATTCAATGAGATACCATGTGTTTGCTATGGAGGATGGCAGAGTGTGCGCTCTATTGTTTGGATACAATCCTGCGATTCCAGCTCTGCGCAGGAATCGGATGAACAAATCCAGATCAACCCCAATTAGCGTTCCATTTCAGGTGCTTGCTGTATCCATCTTTAGTGTAGTGAAAATGTGTGATGCTGCTCGTGCACTGCAGGATAAAGCACCATGTATGCCTCTTGCTGCTCGTCATCGTCTTAGTGATTATAAAGAACATGAGAGCGCATTCCTGTCTCTTGTGATTGAGAGCCAATACATTTTCCAGGTAGAAGACAGCCATGTTTCTCTTCCTCTAGGGGCATTCTTCCCCTAGACCCTTAACCACTTCACCTAATTTTATGTCGCCTGCCATTTTCACTTCCAATGCCATGGATTTTCATTATGTTGTTTGCACTCTGTATGAGTTGGGTTTTATTTTATGCTATGTATGCACACTTGGTTCTCTCTCCATTTTATCAGTAGTGTACTTGTTATTTAAGCAGTTTATGTTGTTACACTAATTGAACTTCTGTGGTTGAAATAGACTTCCATGGATATGCTGCTTTAGTGATATTCAAAACCCAAATGCAAAAAGTTTGTTGTTCACTCACGAGAGAGAGAGAGAGAGAGAGACCTTTTAATATTCTACATGACTTGACTCCACCACCCCACACTATCACAACATTCAAGATCTCGGCTTGTATTTCTCCTCTTATCTTCATTCGTTGTTGATTAATATCTATTCTAATCATTGTTCTCTAAAGAGGGCTGTTAACTTGAAATGGCATCTCACTAAACTCTTTTAAAGATTGTCCATTTGAATTTAGTATCATTTGAATCTCAATGAAACATAGATTTTATAGATCTTTAGGCGAGTTGAAAAACTTTACATAGACAAACCATTCTTCAAAATGTTGCTAAACAATTTCTTTATCATTTACTCCCCGAATATTTTATAAACATATCATATATTTCATTTGCACCAATATCCAAGTGTTAAAAATTAATAGATCAAAAAAATCTCCTAATTGTGTGATATTCTTCTTTGAGCTAATATGGTTACATCAACCAAGAGTTTCCATGAACTTTTTCAAACATTTTGTGGACTACTCATGCCATTAGTTAGTCATGTAATTAACATCTTTCATAATTAAGTTTTAGATCCCAGCTCGACAGTCTCTTTTATGCACTATACATTATTGTCATTGACCCTAATGCCTCAGATGCTTCAATACATCTTATACTCTCTCCGTCCCAGAGTATTTGTCCACTTTTATTTTTACACACCATCCAATACACTTCTTTAATCCATTTTGTCTTGTAATTTGTATATTAAAAAATTATAAAAATTACTCCTCCGTCCGGAAATATTTTTCCTGTGTTGACTTGACACGTTTATTAAGGAATACTTAAAAAAATGCAAAATTTTGAAAAATACACATATTATTAACTTTTAAATCTTTTTTTATTATTAAAAAAGTACTAAAAAAGTATATTAGTGATAAAATAGAAAGGTATTATTGAAATTTATTCTTAAAAAGCATATTAAAAAAGGAAATGTGAAGAATATTTCCGGACGGACCAAAAAGGAAAGTGTGAAAAATATTTCCGGACGGAAGGAGTATATATTAATAATCTATATGTTAAGACAAATCAAATAAGATCGCACGTGGCTATATTTAGGCTTACACATTGAGAGATTTTGATAAGTCAAAGTGCTTGGATGAATATTTCCAAAAGTCAAAAGTGGACGAATATAGCGGGACGGAGGTAGTAATAGTTTGAATCAATAAATAAAATATTGTATTTTAACTCAAAATAATATCATGTGTTTATGACATGCCTAAAAGATGTAAGTTTTTTGTTTTATCTGTTTAAATATTGATGAAAAAATAAATTTCTACATTAATATTGTGTAAAAGAAGAGATGATAGAACTTTTTTTAATTGATCAAACACTTAATTCAAATATATAGCTTCATTCATTATGCAAAAGAATCAGACTCCAATCTTTAGACATGTGGCATTTTTAACACTTAATATGCCACTTTATTTATGACATACTCCAGTATTTAAATTTATATTGTCTGTTTCGATTTACGATATTTCACTTAAATCACTTTCAAATCATTTTATATGAAAAATGGTGTAGAATTAAAAAAAATAAAAATTACATATTAAAATACTATACCAAAAGATCTACAAAACTAGTAATGACATGATTATTTTGTTTTATCAAATTATTAAAGAAAGAATGTGCATGATGTTTGACCTTATAAATAGTAAATAGGCAATTTAAAAAGACAATTTAAATAGCGTGGTGTGCAGTTATGGTGTGAAGTTACCGAGTAAATTTTATTGTGGAAGAGAGTCTTTGTATTTTTATAATATTCTCTTCTGATTCTTAATTTATTCTCATCATTTACAAAAAGAGCACTCAAATCTTTTTTGTTTGAAAAATTATTTGTAAAACACATTAGGTTTCTAAATGGTGCACATAGTTTATACCCTTCTCCCTCTGTATTGTGATGTTTCACTATTTTTTTTCATTTTAATGTTCTATATTATTCAAACAATTAAAATAATATCTACGTTCTTCATCTCAAATTAAGATTTTTCATTTGTTTATTTTTTAAGAAATAAATTTTATAAAAAAGAAATTAAATACTTTTCATGAAGAAAAAAAGATAAAAAAGTTCCTTATTTACAACATTATGTTCGGACTTGGAGCCACTACCTACGGCCATGACTCAAGTCTACCTTATTTAGCACTTTATGACACAACACAACCTGATGACCAACGAAGGAGTTCTTCGCTGGGTGGGTGGTACCCCTGTCCCCTTCGGAACGACAGTTCTTGGATCCCGTACATACGTTTTAACCCGCAGCCTTCGGATATCAGATCCGCATGGCTGATCCTATCTATTGACATTTATACTTACAATTGTACTAAAGCAGTCCTAGAGTTCCTCTAGGTAACTTAGCCATTTACTTACAACATCTCTACCATTCAGACTTATTCCAATATAAATCTCTATTTCTTATTTACTTCCAAATTACAACATGATTACATTTAATTAACACAAGACGGGTAACAATGATCAGATAACCAATCATATAACTCAACTTGTGGCCTAGTGTCGGGTGTAACCACCTTCCACTTATCGTCTTGCAAATCACACAATTTAGAGTAAGAATACATACCTGGTCATCATCGTTCAATCAATTCCAATATTATCATAATATATAAATAAATCACAATTCAATTATAAACAAATAAACAAGGTAGTCAATCATACGAAACTACGAACGTGAATTTCAAATTTATATACATAATCTAGCGTTAGATGTGCAAGTTCTGACCTCTATTAATTGACTAATTAAATCTAATCCAATGGACTACGGAAAACGATAAACTTTAACGACGGAGCAGTGGCTGTTCCTTAGAAACCAGCGGCGGCGTATAGTGACGGCACAACGGCGGTCAAGCTCTTCCTCGGCTTCGGCTCTGTTCTGCGTCCCAATCTCCCTCGCCAGAATCGCGGATATTGTTTCCTCCTTTTTCTCCTTCTGCGTGCGTTTGTGTTGGGTATATATATGTATATATTACCCAATCTCTGTTCTGCGTCCCAATCTTGTTGCTTCGAATGACTAATTTTTCTTTTTCATCTGATATTGATTAGTGTTATTTCAGTGCCTAAAATGAATGAGAACAGCCCATTGGAGGGTACTCTCCACAATATTCTCCGTTTAATCAATCCCTTAGAAGAGGACCGGTCTCAGAGATTTCAAGTCATCCAAGGACTTCGAGCTATCGTTCAAAACATACGTAGCTTGAAAGGTACTTTTCAGTTATAACATGTCCTTTCTATCTGTGTGTGTGTGTGTGTTTTGAACAGAACTATTGTTCAAACAGGCATACTTCGAGATTTACTATTTAATTTCTTTTTGTCTGCTCCTGTTTTCTACTTTAATGTTATAGTTTAATTAAAATATTGTTTGGTTTTGCACATATCATGGAGGCAAGCAGATGCAACTGTGGAACCGTATGGATCTTTTGTGTCAGATCTATTCACAAAATGGGGAGATATTGATGTATGTGTTGAGTTGGGCAATGCTTGTGCACTTACTAAGAAGGAGAAGCTAACTTTACTTATAGACGTACTAAAAGAATTGAAAAGTAGAGGTCGGTGTGTCTCTGTGTGTATTTATGATGTTCTTGGCACGTTTTAGTTGGGAGGGGAAAAAATTGAATGATTGGATTGTTTCTTGTAGGTGGGTACAATAGAGTGAAATTAATCAGCAGCGCAAGAGTCCCCATTTTGATGTTTCGTGGAAAGCACAACATCTCTTGTGATTTATCAATAAATAATATTGATGGTAAAATAAAATCGAAGTTATTGTACTGGATCAGCTCGATTGATGGCCGTTTTCGTGACATGGTTTTACTGGTTTGTTCTTTGTAACATTTATTGTTGCAACAGCATATGGATTTGATAAATTATGATGGAATGTTATGTGATCTTATACAACATGCATTTGATTTCATCACTTCCATTTCCTTACAGTTTACCAAAATGTCACCTTTTTAAGAGTGTTTTAAAATCCTTTTCTTCTGGAAGGTCAAGGAGTGGGCGAAGACGCATAACATCAACAACTCAAAATGTGCAACTCTAAACTCATATTCGCTCTGCCTGCTTGTCATCTTCCATTTTCAGGTGATTTTTGTTTTATCCCATGATCTTTTGGAAATAGCATCTCCTTATAGGTGGTATAATGTATGTTTATATTTGTCTCACAAGCCCTGCTTGTAGAACCTTATTTAGTTTTGTTTTCGGTAAATTTCCTATTCTTTATCTTATAATCTAACTGTGCACCATATTCTATGCAGACGTGTGTGCCTCCAATCTTACCCCCGCTAAAAGAAATTTACCCTGGAAATGTTATGGTTGATATTAAAGGTGCTTGCCACAATTGAATTTGTCTTTTCCTGCAAAGAACACTTTACCCTTATAATAGTCTATATATAATAAAAATGGAGCATTGGTAATTGACCTTTTAAACCTTGCTTTGAGTCTTATGCATTTTGCCCCAATTTATGTATTAGTTGCAAAGCTCTTTTGCAGAGGCAAGGGTTGAGCAAAAGAATGTACAGGAATTATGCTCATCCAACATTAATCGATTCATACAAAATGTGTCAAAAGCTCATAATCAGAGTTCTCTTTCTGCGCTTTTCACCTCATTCATTGCTGGGGTGAGCAATTTCTCTGTACTGTTTTATGACTTGGATTTTTTTGGTTATTTCTGAAATTCTGACATTCCATCACAGAGTCACTATGGTAACCTTTTGTTGATTTTACAGTTACGTGACTTAAGTTCAAGAGCCGCTAAGCAAGGGATTAATACATATGCTGGACAATGGGAGGACATTGAAGGCAACATGAGATGGTTACCTAATAAGTATCCTCTAATTGTAAACTTCTCCAACTATATCTATCAAAAAAATAGAGCTCGTTTGGTAAAGCTTAAAATGTCCGAATCAACACAAATTTGGTGAAAATGGCTGATATATCGAATTTACTTAACATATGCTTTTTAGTTTAATTTAAGATAATAATATCTAAAATTTAATGTTGAAGCATCATTTTCATTAGTTTCATCGATTTGAACACTACACTTGACATGTGTGCTGCTTATTTGTTACTCGCAGCCAATTAAGTGTCATGAAATAAGTTGGTGTTTGGTGAACAATCTAATGCAATAAGCCAGAAATAGTTCATGCCTACCAAACAGGTACTTGGTGTAAATTGTTGAATGCTTCTGATAATTCTATGTTTGTGCTAACAGATTGAAGATCCATTTGAACAGCCAATGAATGCAGCAAGGGTTGTAAGCAAAAAACAACTCCTGAGGATATCACAGACTTTCAATAGGACCTATGATGTGCTTGTATCTCCCAACCAAAACCCAGATTTGCTTATGTCTACTCTTGTGGGACCACAAGTGTTAAAATCGTGTGCAACAACCAATACTACAAGAGCCAAGCAACCTCAGCCGGCAAAAACCAAGCAGCCACAGCCGAAAAGAAACAAGCAGCCTCAGACGACAAAAACCAAGCAGCCTCAGCCGACAAGAAACAAGGAGCCTCAGCCGACAGAAACCAAGCAGCCTCAGCCGACAGAAACCAAGCAGCCTCAGCCGACAGGAAACAAGCAGCCTCAGCCGACAAAAACCAAGCAGCCTCAGTCAACAGGAAACAAGCAGCCTCACCCTCAGCCGAAAGTCAGCGAGGCATTTGGTGCCCCTGCTCAAGTTTGGGCACAGCGTGTTACACAGCCAGGGCAAGAAGCATTTAGTTCCATTCAAGTCCGGGCACATTCGGTTGCACAGTCAGGGCAGGCATTTGGTGACCCTAAAGTTCGGGCACAATCCGTTATGCAGCCAGGGCAGGCATTTGGGCCCCATCAAGTTCAGGCACAGCATCTTATGCAGCCAGGGCAGGCATTTGGTGCCCATCAAGTTCAGGCACAACGTGTTATGCAGCCAGGGCAGGCGTTTGGTGCCCATCAAGTTCGAGCGCAGCCAGGGCATGCATTTGGTGCTCTCTCTCAAGTTTGGGCACAGCCAGGGCAGGTGTTTGGTGCCCTTCCTCAAGTTTGGGTGCAGCCAGGGCATGCATTTGGTGCCCAGCAAGTTCAGGCACATCCTGTTATGCATCCAGGGCAGGCATTTGGTGCCCAGCAAGTTCGGGCACATCCTGTTATGCAGCCAGGGCAAGCATTTGGTGGCCATCATCATGCTTGGTCACATCCTGCTATGCAGTCGAGGCAGGCATTTGGTGCCCCTCCTCAGGGTTGGTTACAACCTGTTATGTACCCATCTGATGGACAACCACAGAGTATAGTGCGTAGACCTGCCAAGACTCCGCGACTCCAGTGGGATTAGAATCTGATAAGCAAATTACAGATTGGTTCTATGGTTTTGCATTAGATTGTATCATGGTGTATTCCTTTTCTGTTTCACTCAACTGTATCATTGTCTTCTTTCAAGGGTCCATTGAAATGGATAGAATTGTTTTCAAATGGGAAGGCTTTTGAGTGCTTTTTTGAGTACGTTATTCAATGGTTTTATGTTTGCATGTTTGTGTTGATCTTTTGAGTCTGTAAAATGAAACTGCTGCTGAGGGTCTCCAGAAGCTAACAGCGGATCGGAATGGTAGTTTTTCGTGGAAAAGGGATCATGGAGACTAACATATTTTTAAAAATTCAAAATTGTATACGCTTGTGATTATGAAATGAGAAAATTAATACGCCAAGGTTCTGCTGAGGGTTTCCAGTGTCACCGGATGGTATTCGCTTATTTGGAGTTCTTTTGGTGCTTCGTTGGTAGAATTGATAATTTTTACTCCCCAGAACCTCCTCTCTAATCCCCCACCACACTCACCCCCACCCTAGACCTCTCTTTTATCCCTCCAAATGTGTGTCTATTATGCATTGCCAACCGAATGCTGTGTAGGGAGTTGAGAGAGAGGAGTCTTATTAAATCTTGAAGAATAATGGAAGATAGTGCATGTTTGGAGTAGGAGAAAGGAGGGGGAAAACTTTGCAAGGTGAAATTTCAGTGTAAAACATTTCACTCCTCACTGCTTGAATTCAGTAGAACATGTGTTCGATTTGTTAAAACATAATTAGACAATAGTGACGAAGTAACTATTTCAAGGAAGGTTGATTAAATGCATCCAACATAAATTGCTTAAATATAATGTACACTAGCCTGAATATGAAAAGCAATCAGTAGTAACCAATAGGTGGTAACGTGGAAAAATGAGGAAATGAGTTCTGGTGCCCCTGTAGTCTAGAAAATGGACACTAATCAACCGCTAGGCCACCACTAGCAAACTTCAGCCGCACTCCCAAATCGTGAAATACAAATGGATGAAATTCATTCACAGGAGCCATACGTGCAAACCATTGAAACTATGACAATATAAGAGGCACGAGTGATGATGACTATTTTTACGATAATATTGCTCTCCCCATCATAAAGAAAACTTGATGGTCTAATTTTATGTATCTTTCTAATCATTTTTCCCCATTGAAAGATCTCTGTTTTGCCTTTTGACATTTCAATTTCTATTCATTCTTAATGGGTTTTCGATAAACTTCTTTCCTAGCCTGAGTGGTAGGAAATCTACTTCTTAAGATTCATTCCATAAGAAAGTTCACCAGGTTCGAGTCCAAACGAAGATGGATGCATTGACTCTTTTGTGCGTCATTAATTTGAAAATAATATGAGCAAATATTACTTTGCACTGGAGTCAATAGCACTTAAGAAATGCATTTTCAATTTTTTTTTCCCATTCTAAATAGGTCATTTCATTTGTACATTTTCAACTATTTTCACAATAAGTGATTAAATTTAATTTGAAGTACTATTTATCGTTCATCTCTTTACAAGTCAAGAACTCGGGCAATAAATGAGGATCAAAATGGAGAAACTGAAGCTCTAAAAACTACGGTAGCTATTGTGTTAAACTGTCTGAACTATTTAAAAATATTCAAATTAGTCAATGTATTCAAAATTGAAGTAATTTAGTCCATGGCAGACGGAGAGAGTGTATATATATATATATATATATATATATATATATATATATATATATATATATATATATAAAATCAAGTTCAATACACTCACGGTCACAAATCCCGAGTTTAAAATTCATTCCTACACATATCCGGAGTTTGAAACCACACAATTTTTTTTGCGAATTATTGTCGCCGAGACACTCCTTATTTAAAGTTCAAATTTTCATCTATGCACAATTGCACATAACAGTACCTTGAGTTCTTGGAGTGTCACAAGATGAACCATAACAGTACAAGTTACACTTTAATACATCACTTGATTGGTGTAAAACTTTGAAAATGTATAAAAGCAAGCAACCCATTTAAAACCCACAGAAATCCAAAGGAGAGAAACCAAAGAGAAATACATATTCCAACAGAACAAACAGATGGTAAAATACAAGACACACACATGAAAATTTGATGACCAAAATGATTTTTGTTGTTGTTTGACATTGGTGAGAGGGGAAGGGGAGAGACGAAACTATTGTAGCGCACGAATGCTTAGGCATTGGGAGTCAAAAGAAACACAGAAGGATATCAAATCGGGTTTGCAGCAAATGAGTTCTTGACTTCCAAAAGAACCCTCCCGCAGTAAAGATATTACACGTTGCAGGCCAAATATTTACGATATGCAGCACATGAACACAGCTGTGATTGAAACAAGGAATAGTATAGTAGTAGTTGTTACTTGTTAGTTACTTCCATCTTTCTTGGAAATGAATGTAATCATCAGAATCTTTCTACTACTTCAGGCTCGCAAAAGGCGTTTGTCACCGGTCAAGATCCTATAGCTGGCGTGAGGGCCTTCTGATGTCACTCGTACTGTGACATGCCAACCCATAGCATTCCCAACCTCCCGAAGCTCATCCACGACCGCAACAGAGTCGCGGATGTATACCCGCCCGCCCGGCCTCAATATCCGATCCATTTCAAGCATGATGGTGGAAATGTTGCATCTGATGAAGTGAGGAGACTCAGGAGAGGATATCAGAGAACATGACATTAACAAAAAGTAAAGAAATTGGGTCACCCTACTCAGGGTAAATTTGGAAGACCTTAACCCAAATTTTACTCTCTTCCAGAGAGTATGACTTTTTTTCTCCCAAAGTAGTTGCCAGTTTACATCATCAGGGAATATTATATTTTCCCAATTTTATTCTTTTATATTCAACTAATAAACCTTAGCCAACTAGATTGAGGACATCATTTTTGGAATGGGAGGAGTAACAGATATTTTCTTGCACTTAAGGTCCGATTGACTGAACATATATTTCTGGATAACATTCTCTTGGTTTTCCAGTTTTTTTGGGGGGCATATAAGATTTTCTGGAAGGATATTACTTTCTGGGATATAATGGAAAATAATCAGTTTATCGTTTTCTGTTTTTTTAAAATTGAACTTTATATTATACGAGTGCGAGGAAAAAGAGACCAGAACAAAGTTAAACATTTTCACCAACAAAACTTTTTCTCATGCAACCGAAGAGATCAGAACAAAGTTAAAGATTACCTTTTCCGCTCAATGGAAAAGAGGCCATTAGCATGCAAGAAATCATATGTTCTTGGGTATGTATCAAACGGTTCACACCTGGAAGATGATGATGCAACTCTGTTAATAAAGTATATAAATGTAAGAGCACCAGGCATCTACTCAAAATGACTAGTCGGGCCTTTACTTACCAATCATGCAAAACCCCAATAAGTCCACGGTCATATATAACAGGTAAAGTGTTTGGTCCACTGACTGGAACCACATTCAGAACCCAACAATCAAACTTGGCTTCAATCAGTGCTGCAGCAAATCTGTTGGAAGGATCACGGTTAACCTCCTCATAAGCCAAACCAGCTAGAAAAGGAAAAAATTAAGTCATGACATATGTAAGGGGGAGGGGCGATTACCCTCCAAAACCGGCTCTCATGTCCAACACATTTCTAAGTTTGAACTTCTTCCAATGCAATGCACGGACATAGCCTTCAATTATTTCAACCCAGTATTTCAGTTCAGCCCTGAAAAGCTCTTTTCTAGATATATAAGCGTCAACTTTTATGCTTTGCAGCCTATCTGGAGGATCTTTAAGACGTGCAGGCCAATTCGTCACATTTGCACCATACCCATCCTCCGGTAGTCTTGTAATGCATGCTTTCAAATCAACATACCTAGAGACAAACATGAATCACTAATCTCAATGACCTAAAATAACTGTAGAGCCTCAGCAAACAATATTATAAACGATTATAAGCTGGTGAGGTCGGCAGATAAATGTATACCAGACATTGTCTGGGTCATCATCTAGTCCACATAATGGTGGATGACTCCCTTCCACTCGGTTTAAATAGCAGCTGTTATTTAAAGGCTTCTGCCATATTGCAATATAACCTTCCTTCTTCACAAGTCTCCAGCAAAGATTGTTTGTAAGATTAACCATCTCTGCATATAAAAAATGATAAAATGCCAAAATCAAAATTTTGATAGGAACATTATTACTCACTTCATTAGGATGAAAAACAATGACATTACACTTCCTCCATTCTTTATTCTTTAATAAATGGAACATGGAGATGGGAACAAAAATAAGGGAGATGTATTTTTTATGGCCTTGCCCTTTGATTAGAAGAAAAAGAGAGGATAATACTATTGTTAGGTGGTGGGAAAGAAAGGGTATTATATTTGTTTAGGGCTTTTTATACTACCCAAAATAGAAGTGCTGCAATTATTTGGAGACTTCCAAAAAAGCGAAAGTGTAGAAACCATTAAAGAACCGGAGTAAGGATAAGAGAGAGCATAAAGAAATTAAAAGCGCATCCCATTATTCCCAAGTCCCAACAGATTATGCTTTCTCACTTTTGCACTAATAACAAAGCTGAAAATGAGTAAACCGGATCGCCCAAGTAGTTTACCTTCCCACTGTTCTTCTAAGTTTGGTTCATGTTTATAAACAGGCTGTGCGGCCCAAATGAAATAGCCTCCTGCGCGAAGCATCCGGTTGACCTCAAGTAGCAAAATACCATCTTCATAAAAATGCAGCACGTAAATCATTAGTAACAGAAATAAAATAAATGCACGTAATCAAATTACATGGATTTTTTTAATGAGAGTATAAATGAATTCCGGAATAAATTCTTTCACTTGAAGACATGAACATCATAAATGTGGCACCACTAGTACATGACTAGTACCACAGCAAAAAGACTTCACAATACTACCCCCTCTAATAAGAGGGTGTTTGGCAGTGCGCTGCTTTTAGTAATTTAGCTTCTGCTTTGAGTGAAAGTGATTTTATTCTGTTTGGCATGCCAGCTTCTGCTTTTCACCACCACAATTTTATACACAGAACACCATTTTGGAGAAGCAAGTATGCCGTGCTTTTGCTTTCATCTTTTGTGAAAATCACTTTATCTAGAAGTTAATCATTCCCAAACAAGCTCTAAGTGTTGTTTAGAAGGTTTCACACATTAAGAAATAAGTTACACTACATAACACCCTTGATTAGAATCCTGTCTTTAATTACTCCTACTAGTGAAAATGACTTGTATTGCTACAATTAAAATGTACCAGGCAACTAAATGAAGTACTTAATAGAGGAAAAATTGTTGACAAAATGTTATATTGTATCTAGAAATACCAAAATGAATTTTATTTTGCAAAATTATAGGACTTCCAAAAAGTTACTATTTATTAACTTGAGGGAGGAAGGTCAATGTTATCCCTCCTGACATGAGAACCAATAAACTGGCATTGTAATCCAAAAGCAGGGAAGTCAGTTAATTATGATATACTCCGTATTAAATAAAATGTCCACTGCCATATGATTCTATCACAATTATCTGCATCATATAAATTTATTATATGTCTCATTGAAACATTCTTATTAAAAAAATAATAATTGGAGGGACGAAGGTCAAAGCAACCACTCATAGAAACATAGAATCTTACCATCACGTGTCCAATTTATCCTGCATCTAGAACAATGAATCAACTCAAATGCCTGGCTCGGATATAATAAACGCCTCGTAGCAAAAGCAGCCACCATGGCAGGTACACCACGCTCAAGTGCAAACTGAATCTGGTTTTCATGGACGTCTTTTGGAGCAATTGAGAGGGTGAGCACATCACGTGATAGTAGATAAGCACCAAAGCTTGCCACACCACAGCCAATATCTAAAGCAACACGTGTATAGCGCCCAAATGCAATTTCAGGGACCATCTATCATAGTTCCAAAATATAATACCAGATATTAAAATCTTAAGGAGTAAAATATTACTCCCGTTGTCCCAAAATAAAAATGTCTTGTATAGATAATGTAAAATTTTTTATTTTTAGACAGCTCTTTTTACAAGTTATGAATGGTCACTTATACTTCCTAAAGTTTTCTTTATCGTTCTATGTTTTAAATCGACCACTCTAGCTAATAGCTATTGTCACCAAACAACTGACAGTACTGCTTCATTCATGATTTGAGATCTTGGGATGAACTAAGATGATATTCTAGTTTACCTTGAACAATTAAAAGCTAATTTGTTTAAAAGATTTTGTAACTAGAGCATTATATGAAAGTCGACTTCTAAAAAGGACTCATTTTTAGGACAAAATATGTCTGAAAGATGGGGAAGTAAAACTGTTCAAACTACTAGCAAAAATACTAAGCCAGGATGTTCACCTCTTCAATCTGATTCAAGTACTGATCTGCCCCGTGAATGAATTGAGTACCACCTCCAGGAAACTTAAACTTATCCTTGTCTATAGCAATCCAATTTTGGCCTCCTTTATCTTCAACCAAGCGAGCATGTGGGACATTGCTGAACCAAACCTGCATTTGTAATCCATTAGCCTCGAAGATCTGTTTTCTGTGATAATGAATCCTTCAAGGAGACAATCAACCATTTCTACAAACCAATACAATCATTTCCAAATACCTCATCGCGACTTCTGGGCCATGGAATGGGAGCTCGGTAACCTCTAGGTGCAGGAACCAAGCAATTCAAGACCTTGTCTTTGTCGGGACAATGCCGCTCAAATTTCTCTCCTTTCTCAGTGGATTTCAATTTCTGAATGGCCTCGGCATTGTCTAAGCAAGGTATGTATTCTCTGAAGCTATTTGAGCACAATGGAAACTTACTAACCCTAACACTCTTCCCTTCCTCCCTCTCATCCCCATTCGTCTCATTCCCTTGCCCCCAATTGTCCACTACGTCCGCATCGAACACCCCCACCTCAAACTCTTCCGTCATCACTCCATTCTCGTCCACCACCCCCATTCTCTGAAACGCCGGGGGAGGTGGCGGATGCAGCGGGGGAGGAGGGGACACATCCAGCTGCTGTTTCTGCTTCTCCTCTTCCTCGAGCTGCTGCTGGACACTGTCCGTGGCGGTTTCGTTTATGACAGAAGACAAATCGAAGGTTTTGTTGAAATTAGGGGAGAGCAGAACGGCAGGACCCGAACCGGCGGAAGGAGAAGTGTATTGGCGGGAATTGAAGAAGACGAGCGGCGGCTGTCGGCCGTACGACCAGTGCTTGCCGAAGTAGAAGAAAGCGACGGCTAAGGAAGCCAGGGCGGCCATTTTGATGAGCGTCGAGGATTTGAACAGATCCCCATTGCCCATCATCGCCTCCGTCTATCTCTGCCCGATTCAAGATTTCATGCGGACTCAAAAATCTCTCCGCCCCTGAAGAAAGCAGCAGATCTGCAGGATTTCTTGATAAAGAAGAAGCCTTTACTGCGGATAGTATGCAGAAATGGAGCTGGAGATGTTCTGGAGGTTTTATAGGTTTCAGTGAAAACGGACTTTTTTGTTTTCTATAGGAAGGGATTTGGTTAAGTGAATTGAGAATTGAAACATGATCGTCAAAAAGAGGGAAAAATGTGTAACTCTTTAGCTCCCCATAATCCATCTAAATGTTTATTGAAAAAAATAACTAAAAAAGTCCAAGTTGAAACTTCCATTTGGACTTGGCACGAATTTTAATGTAAGATAAAAAAGGCGTTGACTTTCCAATTTTACCCTTTCTCTCTTCGCATTAGTTCCCATGCCTAGTGTTAGTATCTTTAAATCTTTGTCAACCAATGCATCTCTTCTTCAAGAAGTTCAAAATATATTCTTTTTCAACAAGTTAGAAACTAAAATAACATTAGAAATAAAATTAATATTAAAAAAAATCAAAATCAAATCTTATACGGAGTAACACTCAAGAAAATCAATTTTAGAGTTGCGATTGATAAAAGAAGGCAACGAGCAGATGAAGAAATCCAAAATGAAATCTAAGATTTTTACTCAATCACTGCCGCCCCTATGTTTTCCACGATTTCCGACCCTTTACACTATGTTTGGTTCATGGAATTTAGAAGAAAAGAAAAGAAAATGGTTTTCCATTAGTTTCCTCACTAAAATGGGAAGAATTTGGTTTTCCATCCTCTTAATACATTTTGCTTTCTCATTTTCTTTTCCTTCCACTTTTCTTTTCTTTTCGTCTCTAACCAAACAAGAAAAAATGTTTTCTTTCTCATTTTCTTTTACTTTTCCTCTCAAATTCCTTGAATTAGTGTTAGAGTTGCTGGAAATCATAATTTCGAGTTTGCATAAGCCGATGACCAAGAGCAGTGGAGATAAATTCATGGAATTTGGAGAGAAGAGATTTATGCAGACTCGAAATTATGAAGAGATTTATTATTTGGAGGGGGTGGGTGGGTAGTGGTCGGAAAAAGAAGATGTGGGCGGCTGTGTGATGGAGAAGAAGAAAAAGGAGAAAGGGGTTGGGAGAAGAAGAGGAAAGAGAGAGAAAAAAGGGGAATGAGGTCCGACCGAAAAATGGAAGAAAGAAAGAAAGAAGAAAAGGGAGTGGGTGGGGGAGAAAAAAGAGGGGTAAAAGGGTAAGTTTAGATGTTTTTTATTTCCATTTTAAGAAATGAAAAGAATCAAATGGGACGGCTTAAAAAGGAAAGTGAGAAGAAAGATATCTGACGGAGGGAGTAGTAAACAAAACTTGTAAAATAAGTTTTAAACTTCTAATTTTTAAGTAGGAGTTCAAATGTGACTAAAAACCGAAAAATATATATTCCGTAGAATGTCATTATACCGTTACCGTAGTATATTATTCGCAAATTCTTTATTTGAGATAAATATTTTGGAAAACAAGACTATGTTTTACTATTTTTTTGAGCTTTTTTTTAGTATTATACTTCTTTCGTGTCAAAAAATATTAGGATTTGACTTTTTTGGTTAAATTCTACAAAACTTTGATCACAAATTAGATAAAGTTTTAGATAATTATATGTCATAAAAATTGAATATATCAAAATTATATACTCCGCAGTGACAATATTTAAAATTACATAAAAAATTCAACAAAATAAATGGTGACAATAATAATGCTCTGTAAAGTTTGGAATAATGCTATGTAAAATTTGGAATACACTAATTGAACTTCTGCTTTAGTGATATTCAAAACACATCTGCAAAAAAATGTTGTTCACTCTTATCTCGTTCTTATTTAACAAAGTGAACATGTGTTCTCCCCACTCAAAAGAGAGAGAGAGAGAGAAGAGAACATGTTTCATTTGCACCAATATCCAAATAGTAAAAATCAATTGATAAAAAAACTTCAATTGTGTGTTATTCTTCTTTGACCGAATAAGATTTCATCAATCAAGAGTTTTCATGATTTTTTTCAAACATTTTATGGACAACTCATGTCATTAGTCACTAGTCATGTAATTCCTTATTAAATCTTAGATCTTAGTTCGACAATCTCTCTCTTTTATATGCTCTATACATTATTGTCATAGACTTCAATACCTCACATAAAAAATAAAATATTTTTTTCACCTCTAAATAATACGGAGTACCATAATTGTTTATGACATGCCTATATAATTTTTTGTTTTTATTATATCGATTTAAATATTGATGTAAAAAATGAATAGCTACATTAATTGCTATAATGTAAAAGAAGAGATGATATGATTTTTTTTAATTGATCAAACAATGAATTGAAATTAATAACTTTCATTACATAAAGGAATCAGACTCCATCCTTGAGGTAGCCAACATGTGGCATTTTTTTATACTTAGTATGCCACTTTGTTTAAGACATAGAAAATAAGAAATTAATAGTTTGATGTGAAGTCATCACAAATCCTTTCAAAACTAACCTTGCAAAGTACTGTATTATTTAGTTATAATCATTTCATGCTAACAATATTTGTTTTCATCTATGCTACAGGTTTTGCTTAAGTTTGAAATCCACATATAATAAAATAGGTTGCTTTAGTGGAACGCAAGTTTAAACTTTTCTTATCAAAAAATTACTTTTATCTCTACTAATTCTTAAACTACATATCACATCTATATTTACACATCACATCCAAAGACATTTTTCTAAAATCAACACCAAAATACACTTCCTTTACATATTTTCAAAGTCTAGATCAGAAAAGTTTAGTGAGACAGAGGGAGTAGAAAATTACACAAAGCAACTACTCTCTCCGTCCAATTTATAGTGACTGAAATTATTTTATATAAAAATGATAGAATTACATATTAAAATACTACATCAAAATATCTACAAAACTAGTCGTTACAATAGTACTTTATTTTATCAAATTACTAACAAAAATAGATAATGAAAGTAAATAGTTTTGACCCACTGTGAATAATGAACAAGCACTATAAATTAGGACGGAGGAAGTATGTTCCAGCCATAGAACTGCATTTGCAATTAACTCTAAAACCTGATGGATCTGAGCAACAAGAATGAACACATAACCATAAAAATCATACCCTGCTCCCAATTATAAACACCATACTCTTCAGCTATCCCATTCTAGGAAATAAGAGAACAAACAATGTACAACAGAAACATTCATCGTACAGACAAAAGAGCTCACTAATTCACTATCTCAAACCGTCCTTATATGCATCACAATGAACCTGTACAACTCACACTAAATCAGTATGGTGCACAAAACACAAGTATTATTTAATCACTTGTGTTCATGCAACCTAACATTACTACTTTATGCGGATAATGGCGCACGACAAACAAAAATTCAAGATCTCTTACATAATAATCCTTGCGCACATCTTTAAACAACTACATTCTATGGGTAGATCAATAAAATTTCCTTTATATGTACGCGTATGTATGAAACCTAACAACGATGATCTAATACGACAACTTTGATGCATATTTATTCATTTTTAGTTTCGTTTTTTTATAGATTTATTCAGTTTAATTCCAAATATATTTTACGTAAGTATTTGTTTTATTTAAAAAAATATCAACCATTACAAAAAGGGACAATAGTGGACATGTTGTGGTTATGGTATGGGCCAAAGCTGAATTTGATTGTCTTAAACCTCTATGGTGATCTCGTAGAGGTTCTGCGAGACATTGTCTTTTTAAGGATGAATTTAGCTACTGCTATTTTGAAATCAATTACTTTAACTATTGGTTTGCTATTTCAAATTTAATTCTTTAATTAGTAATCATTTGCCATTTCAAATGCAATTACTTACTAGTTTGTTGTTTTGAATTCAGCTATTGGGTTGATGTTCTGGAATCATAAATTTGACTACTTCAACTTCTACTACTTTTGAAGTGTCTTAGGCATGAATCCAGAACTCAATAAAAATTACAAAGTGATGCCCGTGCAAAGTGCGGATATATCGTTGTCCGTACCTATTTGTTATCCGAATCAGCCTATTGAGTCTCTTACCCTACAATGGAGGACTTCAAATGATGTTTATGTTCTTCGAATCCAACTTTTTAAAAAATTTCAAAGTGGCACATGTGCACACATTGGATTATGACTCTCAAAATTCTGTGTATGATATGTCTAAACAAAAACATGCCTTCATAATAAAAGGTTTCGTAAGCATTGAAACTCTCTATCGTGCTTAGTTTGTTTATGAATCATCCAACCTGCTACAAGAGTTCATACAAAAATTAGCATGGCTAGAATTATGGATTCTCATAAACCAAAGATCATTGAAAAGCTTATGTTGTGAGTTTATTTCTTAATGGCTAATTTTTGTATGAACTCTTGTAGCGAGTCGGATGATTCATAAACAAACCAAGCACAATGGAGAGTTTCAATGCTTACGAAGCCTTTTATTATAAAGGCATGTTTCTGTTTAGACATATCGTACAAAGATTTTTGAGAGTCATCATCCAATGTGTGCACATGTGCTACTTTGAAATTTTTTAAAAAGTTAGATTCGAAGAACATAAACATCATTTGAAGTCCTTCATTGTAGGGTAAGAGACTCAATAGGCTGATTCGGATAACAAATAGGTACGGACAACGATATATCCGCACTTTACACAGGCATCAGTTTGTAATTTTTTTGAGTTATGGATTCATGCCTAAGACACTTCAAAAGTAGTAGAAGTTGAAGTAGTCAAATTTATGATTCCAGAACAGCAACCCAATCGCTGAATTCAAAACAACAAACTAGTAAGTAACTGAATTCGAAATGGCAATTGACTACTAATTAAGGAACAACAACAACAACAACAACCCAGTTAAATCCCACAAGAGTAGGGTCTGGGGAGGGTGTGTGTACGCAGACCTTGCCTCTACTCGAAAGTAGAGAGGCTGTTTCCAAAGAGACCCCCGGCTCAACATCGAAAGTTGCAGTGTTTGACTAACTGCTACTTCATTAATTAAAGCGCAGATAGTTTAGAGATCCATTTTGATTTATTCCATCACACCCCAAAGCCAAAAATGGTGAAATTTTGACTACTAATTAAGGAGCTAAATTTGAAATAGCAAACCAATAGTTAAAGTAGTTGATTTCAAAATAGCAGTAGCTAAATTCCTCGTTAAAAAGACAATGTCTCCGAGAACCTCTATGAGATCACCATAGAGGTTTAAGACAATCAAATCCAGCTTTGGCCCATCTCATAACCACAACATATCCACTCTTGTCACTTTTTGTAATAGTCGATATTTTTTTATATAAAACAAATACTTATGTAAAATATATTTGGAATTAAACTAAATAAATCTATAAAACACGAAACTAAAAATGAATTATGCATCAAAGTTGTCGTATTAGATCATCACTGTCAAGTTTCATACATACGCGTACGTATAAAGAAAATTTTATTGATCTACCCATAGAATGTAGTTGTTTAAAGATGTGCGCAGGGATTATTATGTAAGAGATCTTGAAATGTTGTTTGTCGTGCTCCATTATCCGCATAAAGTAGTAATGTTAGGTTGCATGAACACAAGTGATTAAATAATACTTGTGTTTGTGCACCATACTGATTTAGTGTGAGTTGTACAAGTTCATTGTGATGCGTATAAGGACTGTTTGAGAATGTGAATTAGTGAGCTCTTTTGTCTGTAGGATGAAGTGATACATTGTGTATTTGTTTGTTTGTTCTCTTATTCCCTAGAATGAGATAGCTGAAGAGTGTGGTGTTTATAATTAGGAGCAGGGTAAAATTTGTATGATTATGTGTTCATTCTTGTAGCTCAGATCCATCAGGTTTTAGAGTTAATTGCAAATGCAGTTCTATGGCTGGAACATACTTCCTTCGTCCTAATTTATAGTACTTGTTCATTATTCACAAGAGGTCAAAATTATTCATTTTCTTTATCTATTTTCGTTAGTAATTTGATAAAATAAAGTTAAACGTTCTCACCAACAAAACTTTTTCTCATGCAACTGAAGAGATCAGAACAAAGTTAAATATTACCTTTTTCGCTCAATGGAAAAGAGGCCATTAGCATGCAAGAAATCATATGTTCTTGGGTATGTATCAAACGGTTCACACCTGGAAGATGATGATGCAACTCTGTTAATAATGTATATAAATGTAAGAGCACCAGGCATCTACTCAAAATGACTAGTCGGGCCTTTACTTACCAATCGTGCAAAACCCCAATTAGTCCACGGTCATATATAACAGGTGAAGTGTTTGGTCCACTGACTGGAACCACATTCAGAACCCAACCATCAAACTTGGCTTTAATCATTGCTGCAGCAAATCTGTTGGAAGGATCACGGTTAACCTCCTCATAAGGCAACTTTTATGATTTGCAGCGTATCTGGAGGATCTTTAAGGCGTGCAGGCCAATTCGTCACATTTGCAGCACACCCATCCTCCGGGAGTCTTGTAATGCATGCTTTCAAATCAACATTCCTAGAGACAAACATGAATCACTAATATCAATGGCCTAAAATAACTGTAGAGCCTCGGCAAACAATATTTTAAAATATATTAAGCTGGTGAAGTTGGCAGAGAGATATATACCAGACATTGTCTGGGTCATCATCTGGTCCACATAATGGTGGATGACTCATTCCACTCGGTTTAAATAGCAGCTGTTATTTAAAGGCTTCTTCCGCATTGCAATATAACCTTCCTTCTTCACAAGTCTCCAGCAAAGATTGTTTGTAAACTATCTCTGCATATAAAAATGATAAAATGCCAAAGTCAAATTTTCTGTTTTTGATAGCAACAATATTACTCACTTCAGTAGAATGAAAAACTAATGACATTACACCTCCTCCATTCTTTATTCTTTAATAAATGTAACATGGAGATGGGGACAAAAATAAGGGAGATGCATTTTTTACGGCCGTGCCCGTTGATTAGAAGAAAAAGAGAGGATTATAATAGTGTTAGGTGGTGGGAAAGAAAGGGTATTATACTTGTTTAGGGCTTTTTGTACTACCCAAAATAGAAGTGCTGCAACTATTTGGAGACTTCCAAAAAAGCGAAAGTGTAGAAACCATTAAAGAACCGGATTAAGGATAAGAGAGAGAATAAAGAAATTAAAAGCGCATCCCATTATTCCCAAGTCCCAACAGATTATGCTTTCTCAGTTTTGCACTAATAACAAAGCTGAAAATGAGTAAACCGGATCGCCCAAGTAGTTTACCTTCCCACTGTTCTTCTAAGTTTGGTTCATGTTTATAAAAAGGCTGTGCGGCCCAAATGAAATAGCCTCCTGCGCGAAGCATCTGGTTGACCTCAAGTAGCCAAATACCATCTTCATAAAAATGCAGCACGTGAATCATTAGTTACAGAACAGAAAAAATGCATGTAATCAAATTACATTGATTTTTTTAATGAGAGACTATAAACAAATTTCAGCATAGATTGTTTCACTTGAAGCATAACAACAACAACAACAACAACAACCCAGGTAAATCCCACAAAAGTAGGGTCTGGGGAGGGTGTGTGTACGCAGACCTTGCCCCTACTCGAAAGTAGAGAGGCTGTTTCACTTGAAGCATGAGCATTATAAATGTTGCACCACTAGTCCATGACTAGTACCACAGCTAAAAGACTTCACAATACTACTCCCTCGAGTTCATAATATGTGTTGTTTAGAAGGCTTCACACATTTAGAAATAAGTTACAGTACCAGGCAACTAAATGAAGTACTTAATAGAGGGAAAATTGTGGACAAAATGTTATATTGTATCTAGAAATTCCAAAATGAAACTTATTTTGCAAAATTATAGGACTTCCAAAAAGTTACTGGTTATGAACTTGAGGGAGGCAGATCAATGTTATCCCTCCTGACATGAGAACCAATAAACTGGCATTGTAATCCAAAAGCAGGGAAGTTAGTTATCTAGAAATTCCAAAATGAAACTTAAATAAAATGTCCACTGCCATATGATTCTATCACAATTATCTGCATCATATAAAGTTATTATATGTCTCATTGAAACATTTTTATTAAAAAAATAATAATTGGCGGGAGGAAGGTCAAAGCAATCACTCATAGAAACATAGAATCTTACCATCACATGTCCAATTTATCCTGCACCTAGAACAATGAATCAACTCAAATGCCTGGCTCGGATATAATAAATGCCGTGTAGCAAAAGCAGCCACCATGGCAGGTACACCATGCTCAAGTGCAAACTGAATCTGGTTTTCATGGACGTCTTTTGGAGCAATTGAGAGGGTAGCACAATAACTCCTGAAATGATCGTTGTGAATCAAGAACCAATTGTTGGAGACAACCACATAGAACGTATAATTGAACCTAATATTAAAAAACAATTGAATGTGCTAACACCTCTTTCACGCACAAATAAACTTTTTTCATACAGTTTGATAATAATATCCATAGCTTTTGGAGTCCTTGGTTCTAGTGTAATTTTTCATTCCTCTCTAATGCTTGAAAAAATTATGGTAAATAATCATCCAGGAAATCTGTCAAAATATAGTGAAGGTAAAAGACTAATGAATTAAGCCAAACCTTTAATCAGGATAGAATACAAAACACCATCTGATTAAAGTATGCCTACATCTATTCGGATAGTCTTCAATGCATCCAATGGATAGTCTTCAATACATCTATTTAAATTGTTTACACTATACTAACAAATTATTCTTTTAAGATTTTCACACTATGTGAACATATAACTGAACATGCTGATGCTTAGATTAGGACCCCTCATTGAATCATTATCATACAACAAGAAGAAAAAATTTAAAACATATTAACTAGTTCTGTAATCCTTATTCATATCCAATAAAAATACCTTCAACACACACATCTTGGTGAAATCTTTGTTCAATACTTTGCCCAAGTTCTTGATATAATGGTTCAAGCCACCATTACAAGCTATTATGGAAGAGAAACATAGCAGAAGGCAGCACACGCCTAGCCCAGGACAGTCCTCAACAGAACAAAAACAATAACAAAGAACATGAACACGAGACAAATAATATCAAGGAATTCAAACCTCACAGAGTTAATAATATAATGTCTCTGTTGTACAGTAATAGGTTGTAGTAACAAAACTACCGTTATTAGTTAATGCTATCTTTAGTAACCTCTAAAAAAAGAACACAAGATTCAGCTTAGAAATAAAGAAAAAGCTGCAGATTGTTCAAAATAAAACAATAATTCAGTTCAGATATTATTCAAATTCAGCACTTAAAATTCAAAAATCAACATCAGCCCAATCCAATCTGCATACTTGCATAACAGTAGCTAGCAAGCAATTGAAACGAAGTCAGTGTACAGCAGCAGAAACACCAATGTTACAGCAAAAACCAGACCCATACATGCCCAATGGTACACACCCAGAAGCACACAAGGTTCAGAGCAAGAACAACCATAGTACCATTCATCCAAGAAATCAGAGAAGCAAACAAAGTTTGTTCAAACGCCACATTTCAAGGTCAACACAAACAATTCTTCAACAAACCAAACGAAACTCCATAGAATTAATCAAAGAACAAGCATGAAGACATACAAAAAGATGTCCAATGTCCCGAGATGAACAGTGAATACGTAGTCACAAGAGATACTCAAATCGATTGAAAAATCAATTGGATAAGGAATTTACATTCATACCTTGAAAGGGAGCTCAAAACACTCTGAAATTCAGAGATGTAGCCTTCAAAATTGCTTGGACCAACAAGAATTAACCAGAGAGGATCGCAAATGAACAAAATCTGCCATGTGTTGACCTTCGAATCTTCAAAATCAAGCTCCAAAAACAGCAAATCGCCGGAGCTTGGTTGCCGCGGACCAAGTCAACTCGCCGTGGGTGTCTCGTTGGCCGGCGCTGCTGTATCTCTGGTTCCGGATTGAAGAACGGCGAAAGAGAACAGGGGTTCGCGGCGTCTCTATCTCTCAAGGAGTATTGATGTTAGTAGGGTTTGTACTTCTTAATTTAAAATAATGTGTATGAGTAAAAACATACTTCCTCCGTCCTATAATGATCTTCTCAGAGCACTATTCCAACTTCACGAGAATTTATATTTATTTGTGTTTTTTCATGGCCTATATGATAAAATAAAATATTCTTGTCACCACTTGTTTTGTTGAACTTTTGGTGTAGTTTTTAAATATGTATGTTTTATTTTTTATTTCTATACCAATATTTAAATAAAATAGATTGAAAAAACTTGGGATTTTTCTTCGTTTTGCGAACCGGAAAGATCATTTTAGGACGGAGGGAGTAAATTTTTCTGGCCAATTTTCTTCGAATTGAGATCTATTTGCACTATTGGATTCGATTCATCGATCTCTATCCAATGATATACTCCGTAACTTTTATTATCATTCGACAAGTATTTACCGGTTCCTCCTAGTCCGTATTAATTATTTCGTTTAATTAGTACCGATTATTCTTTTAATTTAAACCTTTACAAATAGAGTTAGATTAGTCTCATAATATTGAGACAATTAGAATTCTCTGAAACATCTTTTAATTCTTTAAGGAATAAATTATCATAAAAAAATACTTCTTATTTATTTAGTTATCGATTAACTTATAGACCGGTTTCCAGGGCGTTACAGCATCGCCCCCTGACTCGATTTCAGGTTAAATTATTAGATTTCATTTCAAACAAATTACTCAAAACATTTAACATTAATTAATTTTTTAAAAAAATAGATCAATCAAGATTAGATCTAATTAGAAAGAATTTTTAAATATAACTAGAATTAGATCTAGCAAATTAAATCTAATCAGATAAAATGTTTTAAGATCAAATCAAATTCAATCAGATCTTATTGCTTGCATATTTCATGTGAGCTACTACATCTCAATTTAACATTTTATATGTTGTTTAGATTATATCTAAAGAAATCAGATTTCATCATATCAGATTAGATTAGATTCGATCAAATTAAAAGAGTTTTAAATATAATTAATCGGACTAATTAGATCAAATCGGACAAAAATAGATCTAATCGGAATAAATCAAGTCAAATCCAATAAGATCAGATCAAATCTTCAAAAATATCGAATCAAATCAAATTCAAATCTAGTAAGATCAGATCAAATATTAAAAAAATCATATCAGATCTAATTAGATTGAATTAGACCAAAATAGATCTAATCAGATCAAATCAAGTTCAAATCTATTAAGATCCGATCAAATCTTTTTAAAAAACAACTTAATTATATAGGTCGTGTCCTTTTTGCCTGATCTGATCTATAAATACATCAGATTGGATCAAATTAGATCAAATTAGACCAAAACAGATCAAATCAAATCAAATTCAAATCTAGTAAGATCAAATCAAATATTAAAAAACAATTTAATTGTATAGGTCGTGTCATATTTGCCTGATCTAATCTTTAAATTCATCATATCGGATTTAATTAGATTGAATCAGACCAAAATAGATCTGATCTAATCAAATCAAATTCAAATCTATTAAGATCAGATTAAATCTTCAAAAAAACAAGTTAATTATATAGGTCGTGTCCTGTTTGCTTGATCTAATCTATAAATGCATCATATCAGATCAAATTATATCAAATTAGACCAAAACAGATCAAATCAAATCAAATTCAAATCTAGTAAGATCAGATCAAATATTTAAAAAAATGATATCGGTTCTAATTAAATTGAATCGGACCAAAATAGATCTAATCAGATCAAATCAAGTTCAAATCTATTAAGATCAGATTAAATCTTCAAAAAAAAACAAGTTAATTATATAGGTCGTGTCCTGTTTGCTTGATCTAATCTATAAATGCATCAGATCAGATCAAATTAAATCAAATTAGACCAAAATAGATCAAATCAAATCAAATCAAATTCAAATCTAGTAAGATCAGATCAAATATTTAAAAAAATGATATCGGTTCTAATTAGATTGAATCAGACAAAAATAGATCTAATCAGATCAAATCAAGTTCAAACCTATTAAGATCAGATTAAATCTTCAAAAAAACAAGTTAATTATATATGTCGTGTCCTTTTTGCCTGATCTAATATATAAATGCATCAGATCAGATCAAATTAGATCGAATTAGACCAAAACATATCAAATCAAATCAAATTCAAATCTAATAAGATTATATCTAATTTTTTAAAAAAACAATTTACTTGTGTTGGTTGTGTCTTATTTTTGTGATATAAACTTTAAATGCATCATATCGGATTTAATTAGATCGAATCAGACCAACACAGATCTAATCGGATCTAATCAAATTGAAATCCAATAAGATCAGATCTAGTCTTCAAAAAAATCAATTAACTTGTCATCTTTAATTTCCCTCTATCTAAATTCATTTTACCTCCCTAAATTTCATTCTCCCTTTTCCTAAATTCATTTTCCCTCCCCTAAATTTCATTCTCCCTCTTCCTAATTTCTCTTTTCCCTCCTCTAAAAAACCCTGTCTCTCGTCGATTAAGATCAGGAGAAAAAAGTTCGTCACTTCGCCGTACCTTCATGCATGGAGCCAGAGCCGCCGATCCTCATCGCTCCTATCTTCTTCGTCGTCATCGAGATACCTCGACACCGGGCAGTGGTCTTCCGATCCCCAGAGTACCACGATTTCGGTCCATCCCACTTATCCATGACACATACACCTGCCTCAAACGCCGTGTGAAGCCAACATCACAACCCTAATCTCTACTGCCTCGATTTTACAGGTTTTACTTTATCTTGAAAATACTCTAATAGTTAAATACTCTAATAAATCTACCAGCATGATTATGTTTTTATTCGTTTAAGCCTCAAGTAGTTTTCGAATTAGATTACTTCATTCTTGTATATATAAAAGAGGACATGAGTTATAAAATGTGAGGACATATTTTAGGTGTCATGTTATATTGTTATTAAGACACACAAATAGTGTCAGGATATAGAAAAGAGGACATGAGTTATAAAATGTGAGGACATATTTTAAGTGTCCTCTTATGGAATTAAGGATGCCTTTGGTTGAGGTTTTGGTGTGTCCTTGTACAAAAAAAGGACACAATTTATGTGTCCTTATTTATGACTTACTATGACTCCCTAATAGAGGACACTTCTTCTGAGATTCGTTGTAAATGATAGATGAAACTTTTTTAGTGTCCTTAAATCCCCTTTTTCTTGTAGTGAATAGTTCTAGGCTTAAGAGCTAGACTACTGTTTAAAACGAATATTCTTAACTTTTAAAATAATTTTAGGCTTAATACGCACAATTCTCTTAAAAATAGTTTTCTTTACTTATTACAGATAACCGTGAAAAAAATGGTGTAACACGCACAACTAGTAATACAATACGGTTTCTAAAAACTTTGAAAATAGTTCTAGGATTAATAGTCTAACTATTGTTTAAAAAGGGTATTCTTAATTTTTTATTAACAACTTGTAATAGATTACGGTTTCTATGTTTTTTAAAAATAGTTCCACGCTATATAAATATTTCTGTTACAAGGGAGTCTTCTATTCTTATAATAAACAACTATAAAAAACAAAACCATATGAAACATACAACTAACAATATAATACTATTTTCTTATAAGTTTAAAAACAGTTATAAACTGAAAAACCAGACTACTATTTAGAAATAGTAGTCTTAACTAATTATTGACAACTATATCAACAAAAACTATATTTTTAGGTGAAACAGACTACTAATAAAAGATTACCGTTTCTCACAACTTTAAAAACAGTTCTACCCTTAATTCATAGACTACTGTTACAAAAGAGTCTTTTATTCCCATTAGAAACGGTGGCAAAAAAATCATATGAAACAAATAACTAACAATAGATAACTGTTTCTAATAAGTTTAAAAACAGTTCTAGACTAAAACATCATACTACTGTTTGAATAGAGTATTCTTAATTTGTTATTAACAACTGTTGCAACAAAAACTATATTTTGAACTGACATAGGCAACTAGTGATAGATTACCGTTTCTCGAAACTTTAAAAACAGTTTTAAAGCATAGTAGCTAGACTACTATTCTGTAGCCAAGAAAAACTCACAATAGTTTGTTTTTTTAACTACTCCATCCGTCCATGTATGATCTTCCCATTACGCATTACGAGGCTTGACTGACTTTATTTTCAATTCAATTCAATTTAATTGATTATAGGAGTAAAATTTTAAAATAAAATTTATATAGTAATAAACTACATGAAAAGTTCTACAAAACTAGAGGTGACAAAATTATATTATTTTATGAAATTACTAGTAAAATTGAGCAAACAAAGTGAATTAAGTTTGACCTTGTGAATAGTATCTGGGAAGATCTATGGTAGACAGAGGGAGTACTATGTTTTCATAAACAGTAGTTAATCAACAATCATCTGATACTGTTTTTGGCGTAGTGCTCATCCTGTATCTCTATTGAAGATCTATGGATTGGTGCACTGGATGAACGGGAAAGAGTGTAAAGTACTTCTAAATCATTATTGTAGGATGATATGCTTTCTAGCACAAAGTCTGTTACGTTCTCCAAGCAGTCAATGTCCTCAGAACTGAAAGAGGTGGGGAACATTTTGGTCTCATATTTCATGTTTGAGAGCTCAATCACTTCTCTCCAGCAATCACCTTTTTGAATTTCACCTGAAAAAATATGGAATCTTAGGGTCTGTATCTACTTTCTTAGATAATGTAATCGAAAATCTTAAATTTAAGAGTTCTTTTGTTGGAAGATGTTTTTTTGGTGGGGGGGGGGGTATGAATCACTATATCAATGATAGAAACTAAAGAGCAAATTCACTTAAAAGGAAATCATCACAAACAATATTTTGAACGCGCCACGTTACAGCTGATAACCTTACAGGAGTTACAACCCTTCTCAAAAAGACTAAAGAACTTCTTAAGAGCCGATTAAGCATGAAACTAAAGCAACATCCTATGTGAATCAATGAGGTCACATATGAAGTCACCGAAATCAACTCCAATGTTATATAATCTATCTCAACATAATACTTTCCATGTCCAAGGTTTTCTCTCTAAAAGGTTATGTACTTTTATGGTTTGTGAGGATCATGGAAAATACAACATTAAATACAATTATTGAATGACCTTTCCTCCATAATTTTCTCATTGATTTTCTTTCCCTAGCATTTTCTGGATTCCAAACAGACCCATAGTAGTCATTTGGTATCAATTGCAATTATGACAGAGCCTCAGCAGCTTCAATTGCAATTTTCAGCCGTGTTATCCAATCAAGTGACTGTAAAGTGTAAACGTCATCATCCGAATGATTTTTCTTGAACAAAGAACTCGAGAGACTTTGCTGATGAAGTGAGTAATTGAATTTGTAAATCAACACGATAACTGAAACAATATTATCTTGATTATGTAGACAATCATCCAAATAAAATTTCTATACAAAATATTTATACCTGCCTTTTTAGTTTGATTTTGTATTTTTGAGGTTTTGGCTGAGCAAGTGCACCCTTGGTTCCTCTTCCAGTCATCCTCTGCCGCCTCTACTCGCAGCTGCACCGACACAGCACACCATTAGACTCACATTGGAAGCTCCACCATCTCCACTGCATTTTTACCATTTAAATTTCAAAACCAATCCCAAAATAATAGCAACTATGTGAAAAAGTTCAAACAATTAAGGTAGACCCACTAACATGAGAAGAGACCGCCAGAATCTTCAACGATTGCTTGCTGAATTGAACTATCTACTTCAACCCTTACACCGAGTATTCTCAAAGCACCAAGCATATAACAAACATCATCACTGTTCAATAAATTTTCCACCACAGTTGTTCCTTGTGAAGAAACATGCAATCAAGCCCAAAACATATTAACAGGCAAAAATTAACAAATAATTAAGTGCAACATTTCTCTAAGACCATCTCCATTTCTCCAATCCATTACACTAAGGGCATCTCCAACCGTGCAGCATTTGTGAAGATTTACAGTACATCCATCTCCAATGGTGCTTCAATTAGCAACCCAAATTGGTGATTTACTCTCTCTTTATTCAGATTGGACCCAAATATAGGTATTCACTATTCATGTTGCATCTCAACCTTTTTATTTGCAGTTAACTCTTTCTTCTTCTTTTTAATTTGAAGGGACAATTAACTCTTGCAATGAGATTAATTCTAATTAATACGGTGCACTACAAAAAGAATCGAGATTATAAGTAGTATAATCCTGCAATCAATACTTCAAATTTTTATCTTAATTAATACCTCATTTCAATATTGGAGTCAATATTATCATTTTGTGAAAAAGGTCCGATTCAACATTCAAGTCATCTAATTCTACAATCAATTGTACAATTCATTCGTTTATGATTCTAATCTACGAACTAACTCTAATGATAGACATATGAAAACGCATCACCTCGATTAGTGGAGAAATTGAAATCGTGGGTTGAGGAGGAGATAGCCGTTGTTTTCCGTCGGCTTTATGCACAGATGGACGGAGAAGGATGATCAAAGTGCTGATGAACGTCGAAAAGTAGAGGACGACAACTATAGACGATGAAGGAAACAACGATGGACTCCCTCTGGTCGCTCGATCGCTGAAGCACGAAGGGAGGGGAGATGGCAACACGTCGTTTGGGTTCAGAAAACGAAATTAGAAGGGCGATTTGAGATATAAATGTCCATCAATTGAGTTTTTGTTTCAAAATTGCCACTTTAAAATTGAACCGTTGGATCGCATGTGAAAATAAAATTGCACCGTTAGATCTAGGAAGAGGATTTGATTGTGTTTTTATATATATAATAGATTCTTAACCTACCTATCACATCACATTTTTTTACTATTAATCTATCCATCACATCTAACGACATTTTTTGAAAATCAACACAGAAATATACTTTCTTTAAAGCTTTTAAAAGTCAAAATCAAAAAAGTTTTGTGGGAAGGAGGGAGTAGAAAATTACACAATGCAACTATGTTCCAAGCATAGAACTGCATTTGGATCTAACCAACAAGGATGAACATATAACCATATAAATCATACCCTGCTCTCAATTATTGACACCATACTCTTCAGCTATCTCATTCTAGGAAGTAAGAGAACAAACAAACAAAAAAGCCCTCAAATGCATCACCATGACCCTGCACAACTCACACAAAAACTGTATGGTGCACAACACACAAGTATTATTTAAACACTTGTGCTCATGCAACCTGACATTACTTCTTTTTGTAGATAATGGAGAATGGCAAACAACAATTCAAGATCTCTTACATAACAATCCTTGCCTACATCTTTAAACATCTACATCTTATGGGTAGATCAATAAATTTCCCTTGGTATGTCTGCCTATGTATGAAACATAACAGTAAAAATAAAAATTACCTCTATATGTACGCCTATGTATCAATAAAAATACATAGGGTTAAGACAAACAATCCTGATCAGCCTATTGAGTCTCTTAACCTACAATGGAGGACTACAGATGATGTCTATGTTCTTCAAATCCAACTTTTTAAATATTTCCAACTCGCACATGTGCACGCATTAGATGATGACTCTGAGAAATCAGTATACGATATGTCCAAACAGAAACATGTCTTCATAATAAAAGGCTTCGTAAGCATTAAACCTCTCGATCGTGCTTGGTTTGTTTATGAATCATCTGACCCACTACAAGAGTTCATACAAAAAATTAGAATGGCTAAAATTATGGATTCTCATAAACAAAAGATCATTGAAAAGCTAATTCTGTGAGTTTATTCCTTAAGTTGATAAACATTATTATTTTTAAATGTTTATGATTTAAATATCTTAAAAAATTGTTCTTAGAAGCCTAATTTATCTAATTTCGTTTATTATTTTAAGTGTTTCCTAGCAAGCCCGAGAGAAAAACACAATATGGGATTCTTCCATGGCTGTTTGAGGGAGAAAGGATCTCTCTTTGTCACAGAGGAAGTCATTCCCAAATTTGAGAACTTCCAAGGTCACCCAAAGATTATCACCGACACTTGATGTGACGATGAGGTGGAAGATTTGAAGAGTATAAAAGAAGTTCTAAGAGATGCCATAATGCCAATGGAAAATATTCTTGATTCTCAAGTTTTTAGAATTATAGACTCGTTCATAGTTGTGTCAATACATTTTCACTTAATGCACTCACAATTTTACACATATTCTAACTTTTTTTTGTCATTAGGCTTACAACATCTATCAAGCATCTTCAAAATATACATCACCATCCGACATTTTTGAGTTCAGAGCGACTCATGGAATACATAATCGTAACGCATGAAAAGATACATAATATTCAAGCAAAACATCAGACTGACCTAAATGAAATTGTAATATTATTAAATTCGAAGGCTGTCAATCTTTGATTCATTCTATTTCAGAGATTATACTGATATTTTAATCGTGGGAAATGTATGATCTTCTTTATAAATCTTGAATGAGTTATTTTCTTATTTTTGTTTCAAATAAAGTACTCATGTTGTTTTAATCACAAGGGATAAAGATACAGAACCAGCCTATCTGGATACTCCACGGGGGTTTATTCATTTTGCATGAAATATCGGAGTTCACAGAGTAAATTTCAATCTTGAGTAGCATTGTTGTTAATATATTGTTTAAAAATGGAAATGGATATAACGTCATTATGAAAAATTTAAATGTCATTAATGGTTTGTATTAATTACAATAATTATTATAATGATTTTTTTCTCTCCATGATTTATCTTTCTTGGGAGATAAACAACAAAGAAAAAAACCATTATACGGAGTAATAATTATTGTGATCAATATAAACTATTAATGACATTTCAATTTTTTTCACAATGATGTCATATGAATTCCTATTTTTAAGCAATATATTAACAATAATGTTATTCAAGATTGAAATTTACCTTGTTAACTCTGATATTTCTTGCAAAATGAATAAACCCCATAAAGTATCCAGATAAATTGTTCGGTATCTTTATTCCCTGTGATTAAAACAACATAAGTACTTTATTTGAAACAAAACATAAGAATATAACTCATTCAAGATACAAAGTTCCTACATTTCTCACGATTAAAATATAAAATATCAATATAATCTTCTGGAACAGAATAAATCAAAAATTAACAGCCTTCGAATTTCATACTATCATCATCAGTTTCATTCAGGTCGGTTTGGTGTTGGGCCTGAACATGATGTAACTTTTCATGCGTTAGGACTATGAATTCCATGAGTTGCTCTATATTCGGAAATGCGAAATGGTGATACATACTTTGAAGATGCTTGCTAGATGTTGTAAATCTAATGACAAATAAAGTTAAAATATGTGTAGAATTGTGAGTGCATTAAGTAAAAATGTATTGACATGACTATGAACAAATTTACAAATCTAAAAAATTGAAAATCAAAAATATTTTCGATTCACATTATGACATCCCTTAGAACTTCTTTTATATTATTCAAATCTTCCAACTCATTGTCACATCTAGTTCGGTGACAGTCTTTGGGTGGCCTTGGAAGTTCCCAAATTTGGGAATGACTTCCTCTGCGACAAAGAGGGATCCTTTCTCTCTCAAACGATCATGGAAGAGTCTCAAGTTTTGTTTTTCTATCGGACTTACTAAGAAACCTCTAAAATAATAAACAAAATTACATAAATTAGGCTTCTAAAAACAAATTTATAAGATATTTAAATTATAAACACTTAAAAATAATAATATTTATTAAACTAAGGAGTAAACTCCCAAATAAGTTTTTCAATGATCTTTTGTTTTTGAGAATTCATAATTCTAACCATTCTAATTTTTTGTATGAACTCTTGTAGCGAGTCAGATGATTCATAAACAAACCGAGCACGATCAAGAGTTTCAAAGCTTATGAAGCCTTTTATTATGAAGGTATGTTTCTGTTTGGACATATCGTCTACAAATTTCCAGAGTCATCATCTAATGCGTGCACATGTGCCACTAAGAAATTTTAAAAAAATTGGATTTGAAGAACAAAAACATCATCTGAATTCCTCCATTGTAGAGTAAGAGACTTAATAAGCTGATCGGGATAAAGGATAAGTACAGAAGACATAATCGCACCTTGCACGGGCATCAGTTTGTAATTTTTACTGAGTTCTTGATTCATGCTTGAGACGCTTCAAAAGTAGTAGAAGTTGAAGTAGCCAAGTTTATGGTTCCAGAACGGCAACCCAATAACTGAATTCAAAATAATAAACTAGTAAGTAAAGTAACTGAATTCAAAACAACCCAAAATAGCAATAGCTAAATTTCTCCTTAAAAAGACAATGTCTCTTAGAACCCTTGTGAGATCACTATACAGATTTAAGACAATCATATCCAACTTTGGCCCATCCCATCAACCACAACATGTCCATTCATGTACTTTTTTGTATTGGTTGATATTTTTTTAAATAAAACAAATACTTACAGTTTAAAATGGGTATACTTAATGAAAATTACCTTAAATAGAACTAAAACATAGAGAAAGGTACTAAAATAGGACTTTCATGTTTTTTTCTTCGAAATAGAACTTCGCATTGTGTTCATGTGACACTGTACATGTGCACATTACTATACTTTTTGATAATGTACATGACCATGTTTGGTAATTTAAATGTATTTTATTTCGGGAATAAAAACATAGAAGTCTTATTTTGGTATATTTTCAATGTTTTAGTCCTACTTTGGTCTTTCTCCCTATACTTAATCAGTAATTGAATACATAATGTGGTATACAAATTGCTTTCTCTTAGAAGCTTACAATAATGGCCATATTCCTTGGGTCGACTAGAAGTATATCGATAGTGTGTGTGCAAAAAATTCATGGCATTATATGATCGGCAAAAAATGTATTGGCTTCTCTTGGACGGGCAAAGTTCACGAATAAAATCCAATTGGAAACAGCTTGCAGAAGGCTAACTTATCTTTGAGAGGTTCAAAATCGCAGCCGATTGTGGTGGAAAGATTTATGTCCTTGCAGCATCAGCAAGCTTGTATCATCAACAACAATGTAAAACTTTTGAGGTATTCTATCCTTCTTCCAAGGATCCCATTTGTGAGGTACTGGCTGATCCCCCTTTCTATTTTAATTATTATAAATCTAGATCTCGCTCTATCTTTCGCTCTAGTTCTAATGGTTATGGTTATGATGATGATGATGATCATGATGACTATTATAATGACTACTATGATGATCGGCCTAATCGTGTGGCTGGCAATTTTGTTAAGGGCCATAAGCTGTACATCATTACATGTTCTCGTAAGCTATACCACTATGATACCAAAAGAAGACTCTGGGGTAGAGAGGAAGACATGTTTAAATATTTCTACAGATATATAGGCTGTCAATGGTTAATTCCAGTGGGTGGAACCACAATGTGTGGAGGAGATGTCATTCTTGCTTTTCAGGAACAGGACAATTACGAAACTTGTTCCGCTCATGGTATAAAGGATATAATGGAGTTGTTTGGATATCAATACTCGAAAGATGATGGGTTTGCTATGGAGGATGGCAAAGTGTGTGCTCTAATGTTCGGACACAACCCTCAGATTCCAGCTTTGCGCAGGAATCGGATGAACAAATCTAGTTCAACTCCAATCAACGTTCCATTTCATGTGCTTGCTGTATCCATCTTTAGTGTAGTGAAATTGTGTGAGGTTACTGGTGCACTACAAGATAAAGCACCATGTATCATGTATGCCTCTTGCTGCTGATCCACTCTAAGATCAAGCACCATGTATGCCCCTTGAGAGCCAATACATCTTCCAGGCAGAAGATGGTCGTGTTTCTCATCTTCGAGGGGCATTCTTTCCCTAGACCTTTAATTATCTCACAAAATTTTATGTCACTTGCCATTTTCATTCCAGTGCCATGGGTTTTCATTATGTTGTTTGCACTCACTGTAAGGGTTGGAGTTTTTATTTTACGCTATGTATGCACACTTGGTTCTCTCTTTTCATTTTAGTAGTGTACTTGTTATTTAACAAATTTATGTTGTTACACTAATTATCCTGTTGTTACTTAACAGAGTGAACATGGGTTCTCCCCACTCAAAAGAAAAGAGAACTTTTTTTACACAAAAATTAATACCTTACAAATTAATTTTTATCATCCTTTCCACTCTAAGACCATCTGTAGTGGGGCTTGACCCGGGGTTTGAATGAGGGCGTCACGCCTTCTCATGACCTAATCACTGTGCGCCATTGCCGTGTGACAGTGGGTTTGATGGTGGTCACGGCATTGCTCTCTTCTTTTTTTAACTTTACATCATTTATATTTACCCTCCTGTCAAGCCTTCCACTACAAAAAGTCCAACACTATCCTCTATTATTCTTCATGACTTGACTTTCCCTCTCCCAATTCTCAAAACTCACAACTTCCATTATCTCGACTTGTGATGGCATGCCACTGAACTCTTTAGAGACAATTTACTTGAACAGTGTCACTGACCTAATCACTTTAGGCGGGAACATTCACTGTTCATTTTTTCCATTTCTCTAACTCGTGCAATTTGAGTCAGTGAAAAAAATAAAAAATAAATTTATAATGTATATAAAGACAACACAACAAGATTGTATTCAATATAAACATTAAAAATATTATATACTACTCCCACCGTCCCACTTTAGATTACAATATTCCTTTTTTGTTGAAATTAAGGAAGAGTCAATTCAAATTTTTTTCCCCAAATTACTCCCCAAGTGGCCCACTCACATGTATGAATAATGTGTGAATAGTGTAGGAGCTGGAGGGTAAAAGAGTCAATTCCTTGTAAAGTTATTGAATTTGTAATTCTTTTTGGGACAAAAATGTGAGAGAATATTGTAATCTATTTCGAGACGGAGGGAGTAATATTGAGGAATGGATAGCGAAGACAAAAAATCAAATTAAAGGTTTTGAAAGACTTTCTTGGACACTATATTTCTAAATCAAGTTAAAATAAATGTAGAACAAAAATAGCGTACATTATGCATCAAATCAGTGTAGATCAACACCAAATCATGAATCAAAATATCATATAATCTGTTTTTTTTGCAAAATACGAAAAAGAAACCAAACCCAAAGCCCCATTTAAACTTACTCCAAAATTAGGGATTTGGACATGCATGATACCTAAATAAGCATCGGATGGTCCATAGGCTTAATCCAAAGAGGGAATGGAAGATGCTTAAGACCATCTCCAACACAGAACGCATAAAATCCAAAATGAATTTTAAAAAGAAAGTAATTTTAATACTGGGTAATACTCGTTTGCTATGCAAATTCAAATAATAATAATAATAATAATAACTCAAGGAAAGTGAAAAAAAGAAAAGAAAAAGCCAATTGACAGTGAGATGGTCACTCACAGATCTAGATTTCTAGATTTATCTTGGTGCTCCCAACAATTGCAGCAACAAAGCTTCCAGCGATTGCAATGAAGACGTGGTCTCGACCATTATTTGGCAGCACTGTTAATTTTGGGGAAAAAAAATGAACGGAGTATCTACAGTTAACGTGAAATTCGAGGTGGGTGTCATGAAATTAACGATTAAGAAAAATCAAATGGAAATGTGGAGAAAAAGATGAATTTGACTTACCATAGAAGGTGGATCGAGCAGGGGACGATGAAGATTCGAGGATGGAAGGAGGAAAGAGCATGGAGGCCTGTAATAAATATCGGTGTTCCACGCCGGCTACAAATGAATGCCCTTTTTCTTTTTTCTTTT